GTCCCACCTCAGGCTTTGGCTCCCTCCAGCTCCTTCCTGCCTCCTTACCTGAAGCAGGTGTTCAGGGATCCCACCTCTGTCTCCTTCCTGCTGAACTCCCCGCTTTGTCACAATCCATGTGAGTTGAGATGGGGAGGAGGCGAAAAGAGGAAAGCAGCACCTGTTAAGAAAATTTCTAAATGGCAGGGTCTACAGTGTGTTTTTCGGCTCTTAAGCTGAATTGTGGGTTGAATGAATGGGCTGAGGGTGAGTAATTGAGCTCATGCTGCTCAATGCCTTTATACAAATGCGTAGGTTTACTTGGTTCTACTGCTGTTCAAAGTTAATGTAGTGGCCACCAGTTGCCACTGAAAACTGCACAGTCTTCAAAGTTTATACTGGATTAGTTGGTGATGTATCCGATTAAATACAGTGGAAGAAGATCAGAGTTTTGTTAAAGATACAAAACAGTATCTTTTATAGCATTTTTATGTAGCATCTTCGAGCAGCCTGTTTTGGCTAACTCAACCTCGGGGTGTAACAGATTATGTGTTTATGGGATAGTTAATACAGTCTGATCAGCAGATTGTTCCAAAGAGACACTAAGTGGTCTGTAAATTGTGTTTGAGAAGAAGGTTGCAGGAGGTTAATTCCATTGTAAGCCAAAAATGCTTGCTCATTAGAAGTCCCTTTGGAGATGGAAATGTGGAGTTGTATACTCCAACTGAGGGGGAAAAAACAGGTCATCTTTGCAACACTTAAAAAGCATCTCTGTAGGCTCACAGATTTTACAGGAAGCAAAGAGAGAGAGAGAGAGAGAAGGCTAAGTACTGCCCTCATAGGTGACTCGACCCATGTGACAGGCAGGATTTCAGAGATTAACTCGAAAGAGATATCATTTCAGTCTGCTGAGATTATTTTAGGAACAGAAAGTGTGCCGGATATCTGCTTTGCGCTACTGAACCTTCCAGTGCCTTTTATTAAGTTTTTGCTTTTTGTTTTGTTTTTTATATTGGTATTAATTGTTCTGTCAAAATGCCTCTTCTGTCACCAGTGGATGAACAAAAACCAGAACATTTTGATGGGCTCTCCCTGTTGTACTGGTATGGTAAATAATTAGACTTTAGAGAGCTGTTTTAATTTCTGATAAAAATTTGAAGTCTATTGTATAAATTGAGGTATTTTCATTGTTATAGACTTTTAAAATTGTTGGAGATTCCTTGTTTAACATCATAATAATAGTTTACCATTCATACTCCTGTAATTCAATGAACATATTTGTTGCTGCAGTGGTGTAATTTAAACACATGGGGGTATTTTGTTTTATTTTTAGTTTTTTTCCTTATATTGGCTTTACTGTTGCAAGTTTCCCTGGATGCCTTGCTCATCAGTGCAGATAAGTGATTCATAAATATTAGAAATCAGTTTAATCAAACTATTTATTATAATGATTTGTATTATTAATTAAATTCCTATCAACTCTCCCTTCCCCTGTGATGTATATTTAGCTTATTTTAAAACAGAAAATGGATAAAGAATATGTGCTTTCATAATATCTCAAACCTTTAATAAGTTTGTGGCATTAGAAAATGACTTTAAACAGTTTTTCCTGGGGAACTGCTACTTGTCCCAATAAGGCAGATAATTGCATAATTTAATTGTTTTGTTTATTTATTTATAATATTTATATAGGCTACAAAGAATAATATGACTCAAAACAACAAAATGTAGGAAAAACTTCTTATTGTAGTGGTAAATCCATACTTAGTAAATTATTGTCTTCTATTTGTGGGTAATCAAAATGGAATATGCAGAATTTTTACTGAAATCAAAGGGGCTTCTCCAGATTGTATGATGAGGGTACTGTGTGATCCCAGGTTCACCCCAACTGGAATGTGAGCCTATGCTTTGTTGTTAATTTCTTATTAAGACAATATAACTTGCCTTTTAGGGAAGAATTGGAATTAGCAAAATTTGGAGGAGTTACCTCTTTCGGTGACAGCTCCCAGAATCTCCCATCAGATATGGCTGCCAGATGGAGAATTCCTGGAATTTTTGTTTTAAAAACAACCCAAAGCTCTTCTAATTAGACATTTGTTAGTCTGTGGTGAATAAAAATACTGCCAGAGGACTAAATAGTGATTGTCTTGGGCTATGGGAACTTTCTTTCTTTCTTTCTTTCTTTCTTTCTTTCTTTCTTTCTTTCTTTCTTTCTTTCTTTCTTTCTTTCTTTCTTTCTTTCTTTCTTTCTTTCTTTCTTTCTTTCTTTCTTTCTTTCTACCTACCTACCTACCTACCTACCTACCTACCTACCTACCTACCTACCTACCTACCTACCTACCGCCAGAAGGATGGAAGGGAGTTACTTCTTTCCTGACAGCTGAATACCAAGAATGATGATTCTTGGCTCTGGATGCCCAAGGCATCATTGACCTTTATAGCTAGGAGGCAACATGGAAGTTGTAAAAGCACTAGTAGCATGTCCACTGCTCTTTTCATTCATACATTCATTCATTTTGGTGGCATATTATCGTGACAAGTGCCCATCTTGGCTCTGGATTAAAGAGACAGTCACAGGAGCTGTGAAGTTGGCATTGTGCTGTGTAAATACATTACCACCCTCTCAGAGGGCACAGAACAGGAAACAGTAAAAGGAGAGCAGTAGAGTTGGGATTACTTTCTCTTACATGTTTGTAAAACTGCTTTGAAAGTGAGGAAAATGGCCAGGACAATATCTCAGTATTCTTTCCAGTTCTTCTGAGTCTGTATGTGTAGTTTTAAGATCAAACCTGTCTCTTGTCTTTAAAGGGATGACATGTACATTAATGTGAGTCTGAAGATACTTTTAAGATTCAGAGGAAGAGTATTATATTGGCTGGTGACAAGCAGAGGGAATCCTTTTTACGTACAGCTACTGTATTTATAAGGTTTCCCCTAGATAATCACTGGAACAGGGAAGCATATTGACAGCAATGCTCACTCATGTCAGCAAAGTGTGTTAGCATAATCAACACATTATTTCACCAAGAATAATGCAGTGCTTTAATTCATGGGAAGCCAAACTTGCTTTTTGTGGAATCTATTTTGCTTTCTTTAAGAATTTCTTTGATTGGAGCCAAATGTAAGATGGTGGCTCAGGAGACAGAGCAGTGATAGCTAGTACCCACTGTAGTCTCCCACTGTAGTCGACAGAATGGAAGGCACACCAACTAATGGTGGACAAAACTGGAGTGCAAGTTGATACGCACACACATACAGAGACATGTGTAGGCAAACATTCACGCGTACACGCCCAGTAAACCCCCCTGCTTCTGATAAGGAGGCAGATAGAAGAGGGGTGCCTAGAGGGAGCCTGAGGTAGGTTGGTACTCTAGTTGACCTTGTAAATGAGCTGCTGCTGAGGCAACCGGTCGCCTGAACCCCATGGATCAGAACTTCGAACAGTTTCTTTCTTGAACTTGAATTCCCAGAATTTTCCAGCCAGCCTATTGTTGGAATCCAAAGAAGCAACTTCTCCAAGCTCTGCTATGATGCATAATATTAGGATTATATACACACACAAATGCAAATAATGAGCTACAAGAAATTGGTTGTTTGAATAGGCTGACTTAGATCTAATATTGCCATTTTTAAAAACGGATGTGATCACCAGTCCTTGTGGTTGGGTAGAGTTCATTGACCTTTTTGCAGGCTGTGTTTTTCAGTGCTGGGAGCCAAGCTTTGTTGAGTTTTAGACTTTCTTCTTTTTTGTTGAGGCTTTGCTGATGTTAGTGGATTTTAGTGGCTTTCCTTTGTAGTCTAACATAATGATTGCTGGTTTTGTCCAGTGGTTCTGTGTTTTGAAATAGGATTTCATGTCCAGTTTGTTTCAGGGCATGTTCAGCTACTGCCAATTTTTCCAGTTGTTTTAGTCTGCAGTGTCAATGAAAAAAAGGTCAACAAACTGTACCCAACCACAAGGACCAGTGATCACTGCACACAAAAGACTAGCTAATGACACCCATCAATCACAGTGAAAAATCATCCCCCCCTTATCACAACAATAGCCCAATAACAAAAAATATCTAATCACCACAACCACCCAATCTCTTGAAAAGGACAAAAAGCTGATCCCACAGCTACAAATACTCAACTGTCCCACACACTACACCAGAACACAGACAGAGATCTAACTCCTGTCCCCTGAAGATGCCGGCCAAAGAGACTGGCGAAATGTTAGGAAGAAAAACCTCTGGAATATGGCCAAACCGCCCAAAAACCTACAACAGCTGTCGGATCCCGGCCATGAAAGCCTTCGAATATATTGGAATATTTATTTATTGAAAAAAATTCATGTATAACCAAAACCATGTTGTTCAGAGCTATACAATTCAAGAGAGACGTGTATATAGGTAAGTACACAAAATTAAAAGTACTACATATGCATGAAACACTAAAACTGTAAATAAATGCTTTTATTCAGTACCTTTTCTACAGTAAAGCAGGTGGACATGGTGGCGCTGCAGGTTAAACTGCAGAATCCTCTGTGCTGCAAGGTCAGAAGACCTGTAGTCGTAAGATCGAATCCACACAACAGAGTGAGCTCCCGTCGCGCTTGTCCCAGCTCCTGCCAACCCAGCAGTTTCAAAGCATGCAAATGCAAATAGATAAATAGGTACAACGTCAGTGGGAAGATAACGGCATTCAGTGTCTAGTTGTGCTGGCTTTGAAACAGGGATGAGCACCATGCCCTAGAGTCAAACACAACTGAACAAATTGTCAAGGGGAGCCTTTACTTTTACCTAAAGCAGGTGGAGTGTTTTCTGAAGTCATTGAGAAGTAACTTCAGTTGTGGGTTTTATACCTTGGAAGAAATATATTTTAATATATATTGGATAATACATTGAACGTTTTCTCATTATGAGGTTTCCTCCCCCTGACTTCCTTAATTTCTGTGATGTTTGTGTATGCAGGCATCTCCGTTGACATTTAATGTAGTTCATCCACTCTGAAATCTGTCATTTTCCTTTCCTTTTCAAAAGGACTATTATGGGCCCTCATGGAATCAATCGAGCTATACATCGCGTTGCATTTTCGGGCTGCCAAAATGGATTAGGTAATTAGATTATGCATACTATTTACTCTAATACACTCTGAGTGTTGTCACTGTCCCCCTCCTGGGCACTAGCAGGCCACTCTGAAGTAGACAGGAGTTGAAATCCATAAAAGTATTTAGCAGTGATTTTGAGATGTTACTGCAAGGGAGGAAATAACCTGCTTATCTCTTGCTTCTTTTCCTTGCTCAACAGGCATTAAAATTATCGGAGGCTATCGAGAGCAATCTGAAGAAGACTGTGGGATTTTCATAAAGAGGATATTGCCCGGGGGGATAGCTGCAGTAGATAGTAAATAATTACTTTTCATGTACTCTTGGTTGCCAGCACTGCTTCTAACAACTGTATCATTTTATATATTGCTCTTTTCTTCTTTTTTTTCATTTTTCATTGTACGTGTGGGGGACAGTGAGAGAGGTTCTGCTCATCATCAGGCTGGTGGCACACCTGTCCTAATATGGATTGCAGTCCCTCTTGTTCACATACAGTAATATTTGAGGAAAGGGTTCAGTTTTGTGCACTTGGGATCCTGTTCACATACCGGTTGCTGTGATCTCACCAGAGGAGAAAGTTGGCAAGTTTCAGATAACAAGTTTACTTCCTGCCAGCTAGTTAGAATAATTGGAGATTTGGAAATTGAGCAAACATTTCACTTAGAAGTTACAAAGGAAATTAGCTTTCAGTTCTTCAGAACTCTTCATCAGGTAAAAGATATCTGATGAATTGTGGCCTTGGGATAGAGGTAAATAGTTTTTAAAAATTAAGCCAGGTGATCTACAGATGGCTCATGAATAGAGATGGGCACAAACCGGGGAACCAGTGGTTCATGGGTACCCATGGACTATCATGAGCCCCCTGAAATATGAACTAGTTTGCAGTTCATTTTGCAGGTACATGGAAAGGGGTGGTGGTGGTGCAAGCATCTTGTTTTGCTGAAGCAACAAATGCTATGAAGCCAGAGGTTAGGAGTTCAATTTCTTTGAAAGGGACTGGACTTGATGATCCATAGGGTCCCTTCCAACTCTACAAGCCGTTCTTAATTCAAGACCCCACTGTACATGGAAAGGGGGGGGTGCAGGCATCTTGTTTTGCTGAAGCAACAACTGCTGTGAAGCCAGAGGTTGGGAGTTCGATTTCCTACTATGCCTCCTTGACAGGGACTGGACTTGATGATCCATAGGGTCCCTTCCAACTCTACAGTTCTAAGGTTATTAAGGCTAAAACAAAGCGCTGAGGGGAAAAAAGTTGGATTTTTTTTCCTCTTGATAAAGCAGGATCCCCGAACCAAACCACAAACCAACTCAGTTTGTGTTTTTTCTGGTTCATGGTTTGTTTCATGCCCTTCTCTACTCATGAAGCCGGACTGCTGATGAGACAAAATAGAGTTTAGATGCCACAGGAGGCAGCAGGGACAAAGGCATTCATTTTGGGGACTATCCTGCTTTTCAGACAAACCACTGACTTGCTCTGCTCCCCACCCCCCATAGATCAAAAGCCAGTAGCCTTTGGGTGAGATGAGACCTCTTTGTGGATTTGCAGCAGAAAAAAATGTGATGCAAAATCTCAGGCTTTACATCTGCGAAATAGGAGGGGAATTCTTGCTAAGTTAAAGAGTTACAGCCACATTGGTAGTTATGCCTAGGGAATTGAAAAATCAGTTCCATCATATGGAAATACCTCAAGGCAGCAGAATTTCTCTCAGGCAACTGATTAGGGCATTTTGAAAAGCAAGGGCTTCTCCCACCCCACCCCCCAAAATTATTTCTTGGCTTGTGATAGCAATTCCATGTTTATAATTGTTCACGTGGCCACTGCAACTTCTCCCAGCATAGACACTATGGCAAAAGACAGAATTACAGATAACATTATGGATTATTGTGATGTCTTGTCATTCTATACAAATAATGCAGTCATTTGTATCCCTGCCACAGGGGAACTAACCCTGTACCTGTGAAGTTTTCAGAAGTGTATTACAAATAATTCTGCCACCTTATATAGTAAAAATGATAGAAGGTTGTCATTATGAGCAAAGTCTTTGTTTAGTGTTTCTTTTCCCCGTAACTCAATTACCGTTCACCAGTAGCTTCTTTCTTTTTAAGGTCGATTGCTTATTGGAGACATGCTTTTAGAAGTCAATGGTGAAAATCTGGTTGGGGTAACTAATGAAAGGTATGCTTTAGAGGTTCAAAATTGAATGTAGGTCAAGATCTTAATGTTTGTATATTCTGGTCCAAATTAAGTGTAAAAGGATAAATATCTCTTAAGTGAATTAGGGATATTTGTATACAAATACAAATATCCCTGCACAGCTGGACTTAATGAGAGTCCAGCCCCTGGGGCCAGACCATCCACTCATGCATCTGGTGGGATTCTTCCAGTCACTCTCAGAGTGCCGCTCTCTTCCCGCTCAGCTGGCCACTTGGCAACCGTGCAGAGAGACTCGTCCTCCATCCCCTTTCCTGGAGTGGCTAGCTGAATGCAAAGAGACCGGGGCTCCATGAATGGTTGGAAGGATGAGTAAGGTCGCTGCCAGATGTGTGAGTGGATGGTCCGGGCTCTCATTAAGTCCAGCCGCACGGGGATATTTGCATTCATATACAAATACCCCCACCTCTACTCTTAAGGTTGACAGGCTATTTTCCTCTTGTACTAGAGCTGAATAGTCAAAATTCTCTAACTTGAACAGAGGTCTGCAGTGGACAACATGTGATATCTCAGTTTTCATATTGTTCAGTTCCTGAGCTTTTAAAAAGAACATTAAATCAAATATATTTTTGAAAATATGAAGGTAGAATGGGTCTACTACAAGGCCATGTGATTGTTGGCCTGTTTAGGTAGACAAAGGCACATCTTGCCTGTTTATGTTTTAGACAGCCCAGTGGCTGTCTAAAATATAAACAGGCCCAGTGGCTGTCTAAAAATACAAAATACAAATCCAGGCTGCCTCCCTGCCCCCTTCCCATTGCCTTCCTATATTTTTCCTGCCACTGCTTCCTCCACCGCCGCTGCCATCTTGAGAGGCAGCCAGCTTCCATAGGTTGGCTGCCTGTGTGCATGGCCTGCCTCTCAGCTGACAGGTGGGCTCATGCACACAGGCAGCTAGCTAATTGTTAAAAAACAAAAGAAAAGAACAATAATAATTTTTTTAGCAGCTGCCTTTCAACTGAGAGTTGGGCATATGTGCAGATGCAGAGATAGTCTCCCTAGATGGTGGCGGCAGCAGAACAAAGTAGAGAGGCAACGGGGGCAGTCGGAAGGGGGCTAGGGGCAGGCTATGGAAGGAACAAACCAGGAAATTCATTGGGGGAAAGTTTGTTGGTTTAGGAAAGTTTGGGATCTCTAGTTTTGACGAACCCTAACTGACCCAAATCAACAAACCAGCTATTTCTGATGAACTGAAGCACTTGAGGAATTTGCTCTCATATTCCTGTGAGGTGAATTTCAGGGCCTTGAAACAAAGCTTTCCAGAGAGAAATCTAATTAGTTCTAGAGGTGGGTTGATTTTCTAGTAGTAACATTCAATTAAGTTCACATGCAAAATGATTTGTTCCAGAGTCTGTCATTTTAACAAAAACATTATTGGCACCTGAATGTGTTTAAATATTGAATATGAAAATACATTTAGTAGACCATGCTTCCAAACAAAGGTTCTTAGGGTTGTGCCTTATTTTGCCAGGAAAAGAATAAAGCCAAGATAGATAATTGTATATACCGCTCCATAAGACGCACCTTTCCATAAGACGCACCAATTTTTAGGAGAAGAAAACAGGAAAATATAATCTGTTTTCTTCGCTCCATAAGACGCACAGACTTTCCACCCCCGTTTTGTGGGGAAAAAAGTGTGTCTTATGGTGCGAAAAATACGGTAGGTGATAGTATAAATTATTAAATTGCATCCAGTAAATCTTGTCCAGCACCTTACTAAAGGAAACCAGTACATGTAACTTCTTTGAACTCTACAGAGCTGTTGACATCTTGAGAACAGCATCAGCAACCAGTCATATGTCTTTACTTGTTGCCAGAGATGATGAAGCAAGGTAAGAAAATGTCTGATTTTTCTAATTTTCTGATTCTGCTAGGAGAAAAAAATAATGTTGAGAGTGGCCATAAATATTGGTGAGTGCCACTGCAACTTTTCGCTTTTATTTGCTTCTATCTTAATATATCCTTTCCCTTACCTCTCTTTTTATTAATGGAAGAATTTTCTCACAAAATACATTCATCGCTCTCCTCTGTTTTCCTGCTGATTGGTTTTAAGGAAACAATACATTCCCTCCATTGAAGGAGGGAAGAACAAGTTATAGAGACAAAACACAGCATTTGTTTCAATAAGAATATTTTTGTGGCTCAGACTTTCCTTGCATCCCCTGGGCACATCTTTTAAATCAAAAGAGATGTAAAACTACTATGAAATCATCAGTATATGCTGTGATATTCGTCTTGATCTATTACTGAAAAGTGAAGTCTGGCTATTCATCTCTTTCCCTTGTTAGCTCTAAACTTTCAGTCCATCTTATTTATTGCACTTAGTCTCCTGCTGCATAAACATCCATGAGAATGCCCAGTTCGATTTTCCGTATCATATCATTGTAGTTCAGCTGCTGCAGACAAGTATGTCAAGACCCTCTTTGCATCAGATTCTCTCTGATTTAATTAATTCTTCTTTCAATCAATCAATCAATCAGTCGGGACCAAATTGGATATTATGTAGGGGAAACTGATATCCCAGCATGACCAGGAGTACTAAAGATTACTTTTAGGGAAGGCTTTCATAAGGCAACAATCATACTTGGCTCTTCTTGTGGCTCCTGATTTCCCCCTTGCAAATGTTCTACTCTTTGTGGGTTTTTTCCCCCTCTGGCCATTCTCAGTTCTGATTTTGAACCCTGACAAGGTTTCATGTCTATTAGGCAGGGGGAGTTACTTGTAGCTGAATGCAGGAATCGTGCTGTGTTGGATTATCCCTACCAGATGTGCAAACTCTTGATCATAATGATTAAAAGGGCAGAGGGAGTTAGACATCGTTGGATGTATATCATTTTGACATACGCACTCGGTGGATAGTATGCTTAGGCTGCAAAAGCTCACCAAAAGAAAAGAAAAGAAAAGAAAAAAAGCTTACTTCAGTACAAATGCAGTGAGTCTAGAGAAGCCACTTCAATTTGGAGGTGAACCTGACTGTGTTTTTTCAGAATCATCTCTGCAGTGAAAGGCTTTCTGCCTGTCTGTTCTGTGAGATCACTCACCCTTCTTTGCAGCCTTTGTACCTTCTTTAGTCACTGAACCATGGAAATTTAAAATCACAGTATAAAGAACCAACAATATTTCATATATACGTGAACAAGCAAGATGTGAACACATTTAATGTCAACACTTGTTTGTAATGCACATCTGCTTACAAGTCTGTTTAAAGGGTGACAGCCCCCCCCCACACAAAAAAAAACATTTCCAAAATATTTTACAGACTTTCTGTGACAACCCAATGAAACCAAATAAAAAGGAAAATGCTGCTAATTTTCCACTGCCACCAATATTTTGTGTGATCCTATGATTTTTCTTCCTTTTGTTATTTGTTGGTTACAGACACTTTCTTTAATGCCTAGCCTTTTCCTATTCTGCAACTAAAGTCCTTTCTAAATCTGCATTCAGCCAAGGAATGCTGACCTAGTTTTCTGTAACAATCTTGAATAATTAAAACCCACCAGCACTTTTGTCATTCCAGTAGACTTCAGTAGTGAAGGGCATTAGACTCCTTGTCAAGCTCCTTTAGGGTCTGTTTATAGAGCACTGAGTTAACTCTTTCTTAAGATAGCTGTTTGGTGCTGTGATTTTCACAACAGCTAATGCATATTTGTATTCCTTTATGGATATTCCATATCTTGGTTGAAGTTCTGTATGCTAGGAGAACTGCCTTGTCTGCAACCTTCATCTGTCCTATAAAGTTTCCCTATCCAATTGGGAAAGCTTTTACAGCCACATTTTCTTCCTAATGCCACACCTACTTTTCTAATTTGTGGGTGTGGATATTGCAGTCTCAGGTTTGTAGCAATTCCTCTGCCCCCTTATTTCCTTTTTCCTCGTCTGTCCCCTTATTTCCTTTCTTTTAACTTTATTTTGGTGTATACACTTCTCCCTTTAACAATGTTGGGGTTAGGGCCCCTTGGCCCAGTACCGTGTGTTCTGAGCCTTAAAGGTACTTATCACTCCCTGATTGAGGCTGAATTAGAAATGCTCTGTTTGGGGGCAAGTAGACCACTTCAACGCCTTCAGCATTGAACTCATGCCCCATGTTCTGAGTGGCCAGGGACACAATATTTATTGGGAAAAAAATCTGTGTATAACTAAAACCATGCTGCTCAGACCCGTGCAAGAAATATGCCCCTTTTCTGTGCTTTCTAGCATGTTCCCATCCTCCTCCTATTTATGGAAATAACTAGGGCAAGATGGAACATATAGAAGAAAAGTAAATAATATTCTGTCTTCATTTTCTATCCTGGCGTTTTGGAAATTTGCCCTGCACCTCTTGTCCCTTTCTCTGCCTTCCAGTTTAAGCACACGGTGTGCATAGCCTTGGGTTCTGCTTTATTTACAGTGTATCACAGAAGTGAGTACACCCCTTCACATTTAATAATTATTTTAGTATATCTTTTCATGTGACAACACTGAAGAAATGACATTTGGCTACAGTGTAAAGCAGTGAGTATACAGCTTGTGTAACACCGTAAATGTGCTGTCCCCTCAAAATAATGTAACACACAGCCATTAATGTCTAAACCGCTGGCAACAAAAATGAGTACACGCCTAAATGACAGTGTCCAAACTGGGCCCAAATAGCCCTTTTCCCTCCCTTTGGAAAATAGACATATGAGTGCTGCCAGCATTGCTGCAGAGGTTGAAGGGGTGGGGGTCAGCCTGTCAGTGTTCAGACCATACACTGCACGCTGCATCAATTTGGTCTCCAAGGCTGTTGTCCCAGAAGGAAACCTCTTCTGAAGATGATGCACAAAAAAGCCCACATATGATTTGCTGCAGATAAGCAGACTAAGGACATGGATTTCTGGAACTGTGTCCTGTGGTCCAGTGAGACCAAGATAAACTTATTTGGTTCAGATGGTGTCAAGTGTGTGTGTGGTGGCAACCAGGTGAGGAGTACAAAGACAAGTGTGTCATGCCTACAGTCAACCATGATGGTGGGAGTGTCATGGTGTGGGGCTGCATGAGTGCTGCCGGCACTGGTGAGCTACAGTTCATTGAGGGAACCATGGTTGGCAACATGTACTGTGACATACTGAAGCAGAGCATGATCCCCTCCCTTCAAAGACTGGGCCACAGGGCAGTATTCCAACATGGTAATGACCCCAAACACATCTCCAAAATGATCACTGCCTTGCTAAAGAAGCTGAGGGTAAAGATGATGGGCTGGCCAAGCATGTCTCCAGACTTAAATCCTATTTAGCATCTGTGGGGCATCCTGAAATAGAAAGTGGAGGTCCGCAAGGTCTTTAATATCCACAAGCTCTGTAATGTTACCATGGAGGAGTGGAAAAGGACTCCAGTGGCAACCTGTGAAGCTCTGGTGAACTCTGTACCCAAGAGGGTTAAGGCAGTGCTGGAAAATAATGGCGGCCACACAAAATATTGACACTGTGTCCCCAATTTGGACATTGTCACTTAGGGGTGTACTCACTTTTGTTGCCAGCGGTTTCAACATTAATGGCTGTGTGTTGCGTTATTTTGCGGGGACAGGACATTTACAATGCTACACAAGCTATATACTCACTGCTTTACATTGTAGCCAAGTGACATTTCTTTAGTGTTGTTACATGAAAAGATATACTAAAATGTTTATGAAATGTGAGGGGTGTACTCTCTTCTGTGATATACTTTATTTATTGCATGCCTGTGTCTCCTTTCTCCTGACAATAGGGCTCACAAATCAATAAAAAAGAATTAAAAATAATATGTGAGCAGCAATTAAAAATTATTAAACAAAGAATTATTAAAGCCATCATATAAAGCAAATTAAGTAATATAAAAACACATTCAAAAGGTGTATTAGCAGTAAATGTAGGGCAACTAGCAGTGTTAAAAGGGATGCCAACAGCTTAGATATTGAATGGGGTCCCCTAGCATCACCTTCTAAGTTTGCTTTTCTAGGAAGGAGTGGAACCACTTCAAAACAGTACCTCCAAGTCTCATCCCAGAAAAATAACGCAGAAGGATACCATGGTCATTGATAATGAAAGCTGCTGAAGGTCTAGCAGAACCAACAGGGACACCTTTCCGCTGTTTAGTTCCTGGTGTAGGTCATTTACCAAGCTGACCAAAGCTGTCCCATAATCAGGCCTGATCCAGATAATCCCTGGAGTTGAGAAGTCGACATTCACCCTAATACCTTTCCCAAAAACGAAATACTGGAGACTGGCTGATAATTATCTGATATGGTGGTGTTCAAAAACACCTTTTTCAGTAGACCTTTTACAACTTCATGCTTTAAGCATGCCAGCTGCCTATCTTGCTGCAAGGAGGCATATATTATACCTCTTATTCATGCAGCTAGTCCTCCTCTGACAGCGTTTGTAAGTGAGGAACAGCAAGGCACATGTGGTGTGCTTCCGCTTTCCAAGGATCCTGTCCACATTGCTAAGGCTGCACAGACTTGACAGGTATTTGTTATAACAGAACAAGCAGGAGCCAAAGTTACATCCACATGACATGTATTGACTGCAGCATCCATATCAGAGTGAATATGAAAATCTGCAAAATGCCATGCAAATTCTTCACAGTGGGCTGTTGATTAGTCAGTATCCTGTTCATGTGGGGTAGCATGTATAAGCCCCTTACCACCCAGAACAACTCTGCTGGTCTGCTGTGTACAGACACAGTGGTTGCAGAGAATTTATTTGTTTATTTACTTACTTACTCCCCCCCTCTCTCACACACATGCACGCGCACACAGACACAGACACACACAGAGAGAGAGAGAGAGAGGTTGTTCACAACATATGATAAAATCAGAGTGTACAACTACAGTGTACAATAAATGCAATAAAAAAATCTGGTTGCTAGCTAAACCAATAAACCTACCTATAAACAATTATACAAGTTAAAATACATTTAAACATGTCAGGTCAATAGTTCTATACTAGTAGAAGGCAACTTTATATAATTCCATCTTGATTAGTTTCCTAAAAACTCTGTGTGTGTGTGTGTGTGTGTGTGTGTGTGTGTGTGTGTGTGTGCATGCGTATGCACCTGGCGAATCTCTGGAGAACCAATAAACCTACCTATAAACAATTATACAAGTTAAAATACATTTAAACATGTCAGGTCAATAGTTCTATACTAGTAGAAGGCAACTTTATATAATTCCATCTTGATTAGTTTCCTAAAAACTCTGTGTGTGTGTGTGTGTGTGTGTGTGTGTGTGTGTGTGTGTGTGCATGCGTATGCGCCTGGCGAATCTCTGGAGAAAGCTTGTTCCAGAGGGAAGGGGGCACCACCAAGAAAGCTCAGTTAGTGGTGCTAGCTCTTTTGGCCTCCTTGGTTTTCACAAATTTTAACATCAGGGACTGCAAGGAACCGGTGGGACAGATAGCTATTTTGTGAGAGAGACATTCCACCAATATTGAGGTCCTAAACCATTAAGGGCTTTGTAGGTCATGTGCAGCAGCATCTTGGACTGGGCATGGAAACTAACAGGGAGCCAATAAAAGCATGTCAAGACTGGCGTTATGTATTCATATCTGCTGGTGCCTGAAATCAATCTGGCAGCCACATTTTGGACCTGCTGAAGTGTCTGTGGTGTCTTCTACAGCAGCTCTGCATAGAGAGTGTTACAATAGTCTATTTTACAGATTGCCAGCTCAGGAACCAATGTGGTTACGCATTTCTTATCCAGATAGGGGCACTTTTGGACAATCAGCTAAAATTAATAAAAGGCACTCCGCTGGTGCCTGAAATCAATCTGGCAGCCACATTTTGGACCTGCTGAAGTGTCTGTGGTGTCTTCTACAGCAGCTCTGCATAGAGAGTGTTACAATAGTCTATTTTACAGATTGCCAGCTCAGGAACCAATGTGGTTACGCATTTCTTATCCAGATAGGGGCACTTTTGGACAATCAGCCAAAATTAATAAAAGGCAATCCTGGCCACAGCAGATATTTGCACCTCCGTAGAGAGAACTAGGTCCAAGAGTATCCCAAAGCTTTGAACCCAATCCTTCAGGAAGAGTGTATCCCCATCGAGGCCAGGTGAATGTTGTTATAACTGGCCCAGTGAACCACCCAACTCAGGATCTCCATCGTATCTGGATTCGGTGTCAGTGTTTTGGCTCTCATTTAGTCCATGATTGATGCCGAGCAGTGCTCAAGAACCTGTACAGCATCATTTGCAGATGAAGAAAAGGAAAAATAGAGCTGCATGTCATCAGTGTACTGATGACAACAAACTCCAAATGTTCATGTCATTTCTCCCAGTGTATTCATATAGATATTAAAAAGCATTGGGGAAACAGCTACAGCTATCACTTCCCCAAGGTGTACCATTTTAGATCAGCCCTCAAGGAAGGACTGGAACCATTAAGAAATGTGACAGGGAGTCCTAAACTTTATAGCTGTCTCAGAAGGATACCATGGTTGACAATATCAAAGGCGACAGAAAAATCCAGGAGGACCAGCAGGATTATACTCTTCGCAGTAGACAATGCCATGGAATAGGCCTTTCAATGTGTTGTCGCTTATGTTTGGTAGAACTTGCTCCAAGTTTCCCTCCAACAGTACTCTATTCTCTGTCCCTATTTTTTCATCATCACCAGCTCACTAGTAAAGCAGTTTGGCTCCGTTCCATGAAAGGGCATGCTTGGGAGCAGTAGGGTCGGCAGCCCCGGCCATTTCCCTATTCCAGAAGTTGGCCAGGATTTCAACAGGAATACCTGCCAAGGTGACAGGGAACTCCCGAAAAGCCATCAGAGAACCATTTGGATCCAGTTTCTGTGCCAGCCACCTTAATTAGTCCCCACCCCCACCAGGACTCTATCCTATACATTTTTGTGCTTTGAGAGATTTATCTAAGTGTGAAGTGTCCTTGGCTTTTGGTTCTCACTTTAAATTAGAATGAAAGGAAATGCAGGAGTAATCCAATTTACTTGGCATCAGAGATGTGATTAGAGTTTGTGTGAGGGTGATGGTAAGAACAGAATGCCCAAAGTGTGTGTGTCCTTGTGAGATTAGACCCTTGAAAGTTAATTTCCGTTTAGAGAAAGGATGTCTTGACTTGTTTGACATCTTGACAAGCTGAGTGTTGGCTTAATATCTTCCACCTCAAGAGAACCTTCAGTCGGTCAGCAATGGCAAGTGTTTGTACTGTTAAATGTATTTGAGGCATTTGTTTCAAAGATTAGATTTGCACTGGATCACTGGTTCTTAACCTTGGGTTACTCAGGAGTTTTGGACTGCAACTCCCAGAAGCCTTCACCACCAACTGTGCTGGCTGGGGTTTCTGGGAGTTGCAGTTCAAAAACATCCGAGTAACAAAGGTTAAGAACCACTGCACTGGATGATCTTTGATGTAAATCTGACCCCACATCACTCGTGACCCATTCCCAGAGGTTAACCTATCAACAGCATATACATGCAACCCCTCATGTTGGTAGGAGAATTAACCTAGAAGAGAGAGAGAAAAAAACCCAGATTTGCTAACGGACATCCATCAAGTACATTGAACTGCAATACCCATAGTCAGCATCTGGTTGGAAATGATGCGGTTTATATCCCAGCAGTGCTGGAGAGCAGCAGCTGACAGACTGTTCTAGAATTGCTAACTCCTGCTTCTAGTGAGTTGGGAAGAGATGCAGCAGTGCAGCTATTAGCTGCCACATAATAGGTGAAGCAGAAACCCAAGATTTTGTCCCTCAGTTTCCTGAAAACCCTTGAAATAATGCATTTTGAAGTGACGTCAGAGGGTGTGTGTGTATATCTAAAGAGAGAGAAATGTGGACAACATGTGGCTTAGTTATGATCCTCTGCCCCCAAAATGCATTTTTATTCTAGGGAGTATTATGAGACTTTTTTTCATGTTTTTCTCCCTGTGAGGTGTTTTAGGGCCAGAGAAGGGTTGGGTTTTGTTCATCAGAATTGTAAGTGATTTCCAATCATTTCCAATTTTTTAAAGAAGATCTCTCTTGGGCCTAAAACTGCCCACATAGATGAACTTTTTCCTAGAAGATGGGAAATTTTGTTTTGCTTTTGTTCTGGTTTCTTGAGTTGTTTGTTTTTTGAGGGGGAGTCCCTCTGGAGTGTAGGAGGGCTCCCTGAACGCCAAGTGTGGGCTCATATGGCTCCTGGACCTTTGGTAGTTTCCAACCATGTCTGTGTGCGTGTATTTATGTGTATGGATATATGTACTGTATATGCTTGAATGTGTATACAGCATACGTGCACGTATACAGTATGTATCTATGTGTGCTTGTATAGAGAGGAAGTAGAGACGGATACTGACATACATGTATTGTCTGCATGCTTGTTCCAGGAACCAGTTCCTAGACCTAATGGAGAGGTACAGCTCACAAAGCAACACAAGCTCTGAAAGGAGTTCTCCAACACAACTGCTGGCAGGTGAGCTGCTAGTTATATCTTCAGTATAAAGAATAAGAGAATAGTAAAAGATGCTCAGTGGCCTGATGCCCTCTATTAATATTTCAGGTTGGTAGAAATGTTTGCATGAATTGGAAGGCCCGAGTAACGCCCAGATTTTATGTGTGTGTGTGTGTGGGGGTTGATGTCTGATATACAAAACAGATGTCTCTGTTCAATCAATACTTTAAAAATATTTTTATTTTTCACTAGGGGGTTGACCATGAAATAAGTGCAGTATTGCCCTCTAGGGGTTCATTCACACATTACTGGATAGTTTGAGAACGTATTGAGTCCCTTACCTTGCCATTTGAGAAGGCTTTATGCCAGAACCTGGAGACCTTGCTTTAAAAAAAAATCTTCCAGAATTTGGGAGGGAATTTAGGAGTTCTAGCTGAAAAAAGCAAATTTTCTAATCTATATTTTGTGCAGTGTGTCAGGTTATCTTGGGCTGACACTGCTTAATAGTTGCTGCTATATTATAACTATAAAAGCAAGAGAGCACCACCTAGCCAAAGTGCTCACATCTACTTCATGTTGTCAGGTTGCACACATTTTAACTATCTTACTGATTTGAAATGGCAGAATCAGGGTCTATACCTTGTGCTACATAGATAAATTAAAATTAGAGATGGTGGTATTTGTATTTGTATACAAATACAAATATCCCCACATAGGTGGCGTTAACGAGGGTCTAGCCCAATGGGGCCAGACAGCCCACTCACCGATCTGATGCGGATGTGGACAGCATGATTCTACCAATGGCTCCGCACTGCACAATCCACTCACCACTCCTGGCAGGAGGACAAGCCCCTTCTGCAAGGTTGAAGAGTGACAAGCAGATCATGCGCTGTGGAGCCATTGGTAGAATTGCACCATCTGTGGCAGATCGGTGAGTGGACCGCCTGGCCCCATGGGGCTGGGCCCTCATTAACACCACCTGTGCGGGGATATTCTTGTACGAATACAAATACCCCATCTCTAATTGAAATCCTTCATTTTTTCCCAACAGAGAACTTGACTACTGTTACTTTCTTCCACAGTGGAACATCTTACAAAGTTGTCTTATTATAAATAGAGTACTCAGATTTTGGTGCCTTGTTTATGCAAATTTGCTGGACACCATTACCTTTATTAGCGTTAAACTGGGGTTAATGAGAAATAAAGTGCTCCAGAGACTGAAGTAGCTTAGTATTTGATCACAAAGGACCGTTTCCTGACCTACCATTCTACCAAAGTGAAGCTCTGTTCTGCATCTTCTCACCTGTTACATGACCATGCAATTCGTTGTTTCCCTTGGGACAATCCTGTCCTTATTTAGTAAGCATAGGGTCAAGACCTGTGACTCTGGTCTGTTAAAGGGGCAGCACCTAAGGGGTAATTGCCTGATACTGAACAGTGAGAAATATACAAGAGAGCTATTTTATGACTTTTCAAAAAGGAATGATTCCAGAAATGATCTGTAATAGGACACTGAGGGGCAAAAATGCAATTTAGCCATGTGCAAGAAGTTCAGGGTGTGCATAAGCGAATAGCAGAGGCCTGTGTATAACAAAAGGAGCCCTTTGCAGGGTTGTGTTACACTTGTGGTTTTTCTTCACTTGGAAATTGGCCAGAACAATGGTCATTTTACCCCGTTCAAATATTTCCTTTACACATTTGCCTACACAAGGATAATTGGAGTAAGATCATGCTTTCAGCCCCCAGCATGGTGTGGCATACTTGCTTTGCCCATCTGCTCTTCAGCTCTGTGTATGCAGTGTGGAGGTTTATCGGAGGAAAGCTGCAGATGAGCAACTGCTCCCATGTCAATACCCTGTCTGACTAAGACTGGGATTTTTTGAGGTAGGGGTGCAAGGAGCTCATAGGATGCCTTGTCAGTAGGCCTCCTTGTGTATGCAGATGTGATATTAGGTCCACAGTAGGTGGACAGCTGCTGACTTGGCTAGTTTAGGACATGTGGAGATGTCGTCTATAAAAGCAACAATATTGTTTCTCCTCCTTGCCATACTCACTCTCCACTGTGGGCAGAGAGAAAGAGGAGTCAGCCTTGTTCTGCTGCCCTGATTTCTCCTATAGCAGAAAAGTCTATAGCTGCCAGTCTACTTCTGGGCAGGTAACCAGTATTTTGAACTTCCACTACTACTGGGAGTAATTTTTTATCCCTTCTAATGTGAGAGGAAGGATGCCAATTTCAAAGAAAACTAGGACATGGAATAAGGAAGAGTTGGTTTCAGATCATGACAAATGTAACTCATGGCACAGATTTTTGGTCTCTTTTCTATAGCATGTTTTGCTTACTATCTGAAAATCTGGGCATTATTGAGTAGGTTGCTTGTTGTGAAAAATGTTTATTTTTTGCTTGTCTTTTCTTTCTCTGAGGTAAATCTACTGACAACCTCTCCTCAGCGTCATCCTCAAGGTCAACAAGTCCTCAGCTGTTGCATCCAAGGGACTGTACTACAAACCACCATGGAAAGACCACTGTAGCGACTGCCTTTCAAGCCACCACAAAGTAAATTGGAACAGTGTTTATAAAACTGTTTGCCATAGGCATATAGTGCAAAACAACAAGGTATAAAGGGGGCACATCATAAAAAGGCTATTGTGTCAAAAGATACCTTGTCATTCTAGGTGATGTGAGTTGCCAAAACTGAAAGTTTTTTTAAAGATGATATTTATGTAACTGTGCTCTTTCCTTTCAAGTATGTAGAGCAATAGGCCATGTGGTCACATCCTCCAGCCTGCCACCTAATATTTTTCTGTAAATGCTCTGGTCAGTTTGAATACTTAACACTATGAAGTAGGGAAAAGTTGTCCTCCTGCTAACATCAGCTGTAGCCTGCTTGGCAGTGATAAAGATTATGGGAGCTGTAGTCTAAACCAGCTTTTGGAAGGCCAAAAATAGTCTCTCCCAATATGTAGGGATATAAGAACCTGCCTTTACATGGACGTGATATTTGCCTTTCTAGCCCAGTGCTGTATCTTAGCCTGGTTGCTTCTTAGCCTCTAAATTCCTATGAAAGCAGTAAGTTCTTCACACATGGCTTTTCCATTTTGGCTTTATTTTTTGTAAAGTATATCATGACATGCTGTAATATGTCATGTGTTGTTATTCATCTGAGGTGGTATTTATCTAATTTTCAGACTGCTAAGCACCAGATGATTTTTATTGTGTCCTGATAGGTTAAACCATAAAATTCAAAGAGGGTGTGCTTTCTTTTTCACATGATAGTATGTTTCCTCTCTGCTGGACTTCCCCTTGTGTGCTATTTCCAAGGTGATCAAAATGTTTGGTATTTATATCATTATGACTTCATGAAATTCAACTTTTGTTTGTGTTCACACACAGAAGTGTTCACACCTAGAGATGGGGTGCTCGTTTCACTTTGTACATGAAATTTTAGGAAGCTGTGCGTTATCTCCTACTAGTAACCCCTTTGTGTTTCCCCCCACACTTCTGTTTTGTTTTATTTTGGGATATTAATCAGAGAAATTCTTGAAGGCAGGAAAGACAGACAAGCAGCATGGTGCCTTTTGATTAGGATCTGTAGGAACTCTCCGTGGAAGCTCCCAGGATAAAAAATTGGATTCCAGAATGGTTTTGTTTGGCTGCTTTGCTTTTAAAGGCAAATTGCATAGTGGAGTTTTCTCTAGCCCCAGTTAACAGATCTGTCTGCATTAGGCCTTACTCAGAAGGTTTCAATCTGTGTAGTCCTGAATGATCCTACTTCTCTTGTTTGCTATTTGTGCCAATAAGCATCTACAGTCACCCTCTTTGGATAGAGGGTAGTGATAGTGAAGTGTCCTGCTTTAAATTTAAGCATCTGAGAACAAGAGAGTTGTCAAAGTGTTTTGATGACACAACAAAGGAGACGTTTGATACAGGCTGGCCTTCGGGTTTGTACTGTTTTTCCCCAGCCACTGACCTTTTAAAGCTAACTTTGTTTTCTCTTCTTGTCTAGTGACAGTGCATTTCAGATTATCACCGTTTCCAAGGGAACAGGCCTCGGCTTGAACATTGTAGGAGGCATTAACAGGAATGAAGGGCCCTTGGTGTATATTCTGGAAGTTATTCCTGGAGGTGATTGTCACAAGGTAGAGAAGGGGTGGGAGAAGGCTTGTTCTGTTCACTCTTTTTTATCTTGCAGTCCACTCTTATATGGGGTGTGAAGGGAGAATATTGGTGAGTATGTTGCTGGAGCTGCCATCCCTACCCAGCCAGCATGTGAGCAAACCAGGGAGAGGATTATTTAAGTAGCTTTTCAACTGTTGTAAGTGGTCTTCAAGATTATGGTGGGTTTGCAGTGGTTGCAAAACAGGGAAGATGCAACCTATCGTTGGGAATCTTTCATTTCTTCTTGCAGTAAGATTCTTAGCTCTACCAATCCAACCACAGTTTTGCAGTTAAATTAAGAAAGAATCAAGACCTCTTGCTTTGAGGGAGGGGCAGATAAGCAGGACATTTAAACACACACTTAAAATAGATTTTGGAGGGATCTGTTCATTGCCATATCAGTTAACAAAAAGCCTCTTATTTGGACAAGGATTTGGGGGCAGCAGTTTGTCAGAAATTGTCTATATGGACGAGCCAAGAGCTATGGAACTAGCCAGATGTCACAACAGAAGGACAATCTGGGAGATAAGCTCCAAGAGTAAGCCAGAAGTCATGACTGAAGGACAAAGTGAAGGGAGGAAATAACCAGAGCTAATAAAATCCATGGCTGTAATCCAGTTGTAAGTCATAGCTAGAGTAGACCCACTCACCAGATCCCCACTGAGTGTGAGCCTATTATAGTTGTGACTTACCAGCCCATATTCCTTGAGTAAGGCTCAACTGGAATAGGAAGCCTTGTTTTATTGTTACACTCCTTTCTCTCTCAAAGGATCCAATAGCCAACAGTATCCATTCAGGGCCAGAAGGTTTTTTTTCTCGATAGTCTTCTCTCTGCGATCCAGTGCTATGCCGTATGGAGCAGCTGTGCTGACGGAGGGAGAAGGTGGGGAGTGGTGACTCTGATTAGGCAGACAGTTAATCTGCTCTGGGTGTTAGGCTGAATTGGAGAGGAGTTATGTGACAGGCTCACTCCTGATGTTCCAACTAATACCTGCCCTTGCAAAATCAAGAGTCACTGATTTTGAAGCTCATTCTTTCTTCTGCTCCTGTTCAGGATGGTGCCTTTCCTTACCTCCCTGATTCAGCAGCAGAAAATGATCAAAGGCAACATTGCTGAAAGAAAGAGTGGTGGTAGAAATACACCAGCTCAGCAAGCAGTTGGCAACACCTGGCTTTCCTTTGCTCTGGGAAAGCCCAGAAGCAAACCTCTTTTTGCTTTCTTCTGACACAACAAGGTTTCTAAGGCAGAGCCATGCCTGCTGTTGCGAAAGACAGACTAGTGGAGGCTATGGGTACGGGGAATAGTCTCACTATGTAGATCACCCTGCTTGATTTTCTGTTAGGTTTTATTTAAAAAAAAGAATTAAGCACATTACTATGGAAATGCATACAAATTTTGCTCCATTTCTCAGACGTTCATCTGCTACTTCTTTTTTATTTTTATTTTTTCATCTTGGAGCCGTTACAAATACCAAGGTAGATAAATTCTGGATCAGTGTAATCCTAGCCTATTGCTGATGACATCTTGCAGCTTCTGGCTACTAGTGCTGGACACAAGAGGCCTGGAGAGGCAGAGAGGATGCACCTGGTATAAATGTGCTGTGCTTTATAGGAACAGAAGCCTTGGTTAAAACTTGTATTGGTTCCCACCACCCTTCACCAGAATTTAGAAAGCTACTTCAACAAGCAGTTAGTTGCACCTTAGATGTAAGCCATCACTGCACATTTCTTAGTTGCTGCTGTCATTACAGTCTTTAACTCTGCTGTTTCTCAAAAGTAATTAAAACAATGTTATTTTTAAGGGGAAAAAATCTAGGTGCTACAAGCTTGTGCCCTATCTTACAAAATGCACTCTTCTCATGCATTTTGCTGTTGCCTCAAACCCCCAAGGAGAAGATGTGGTAGCAGCACAGGTCACAGAGCAAAATAGTGAACCGCATCTGAGTTTTTTATACCAAGAAAATCCTGTGAGGTACTAGTTCCCTTCTGTTCAGCACTGGTTAGGCTTTATCTTGAGTGCTGTGTCCATTTCTGGATACTGCACTTCAAGAAGGATTCTGACAGATTTTGGTTGACAAACTTCTTAACTATTAGACAAGTACTATAATCGAACCAACAGTTCTGGATATTGCACTTCAAGAAGGATTCTGACAGATTTCGGTTGACAAACTTCTTAACTATTAGAGCAGTACTATAATCGAATCAGTTACCTTGAGAAGTTGTGAATGCTCAAATTTAGACAACCACCTGATTGATATACTTTGATTTATATTCCTGCACTGAACATTGAGTTGGACTCGATGGCCTTATAGGCCCCTTCCAACTGCACAATTTTATGATACCATGTTCCTTTTGTTTCTTACCCATTTTTATTAATGTAGATGCTCTTGATGGGGCAACCAAGTTCATCCTTCTGTATTTTAGTCCAGGAATGTGCATTTTTTAAATATACTGCAACTCCACTTCCCTTTCTGTTCTTTTTGAACAATCTATATACTTCGATTGCTGTGTCAGTCATGGAAGTCATTCCACCAAGTTTCAGTTATCTTTGTCAAGTCATATTTATCCTCCTGAACTAAGATTTCTTGTTTCTTTCCCATACTCTTGGCATATGTATATAAACACTTTATATTGTATGATTTGTGGCCTGCTATCTTCCATAAATTTTTATGAAGGTTATTATTGGCCCCCATTAGAGTTACTCAGTCTGTTCCTCTTATTGTGCATAAGCCATCATCTCTCTTTACCTCTGAGTTTGCTTCTCTCTTCCCCCTCATGTTCAGTTTAAAGCCTTCCTGATGTTGTGGCCAAACGTATTCTTCTCAGTCCTTGTGAGGCACAACCTATCACTTTCCAGCAGTCCATATTCTAGGAAGCTTCACCCGTCATCCCAAAACCCAAATCTCTCCCATTGACACCACCTTCGTAGTCAGTCATTCACTTGAAGTATTTCCCTTTCCCTTTTTATTCTTCTAATGAGTACTGGTACTATTGACAAGAAGACCATCTGGACCCCAAAATCCTTGAGTTACCTTCCCAGAGTTTCAAAGTCTGATGTTGTTCGTTTTGGATGTCTCCACATGGACGAGAAGCAAAGAATATGTATCTGCAGGCTTTATGAGTGATAGCAACCCTCCTGTTTGTTTATTTTACTTATTTATTCAATTTATATCTAATCTCCCGCCCCCTCCACAAGAGACAGCATACCTGGTGGGTCTGTCTGCTGATTTGGATCTTTCCAGCACATTTCAGTTTCAGTCCCACACAGTAGGGAGTCTCCTGCTACAACTACGATGCTTCTTTTTGCAGCAGGCTTTATGAGTGATAGCAACCCTCCTGTTTGTTTATTTTACTTATTTATTCAATTTATATCTAATCTCCCGCCCCCTCCACAAGAGACAGCATACCTGGTGGGTCTGTCTGCTGATTTGGATCTTTCCAGCACATTTCAGTTTCAGTCCCACACAGTAGGGAGTCTCCTACTACAACTACGATGCTTCTTTTTGCAGAGTGTGGGTTCAGTGACTCTGCTTGGCTGAGCTTTGTCCTTCCACAGGGCCTCCTGTATGTCTTCCTCTGCATTCTGTCTGTCAGACGGCTCTTCAAGTTAGGAGCAAAAGAAGGAGTAGACCTTCTTCAAGTAGTTGTGCAGCTGCACTGGTGAAGAGAGGGTGCTCCTTCCTTCGCTCCTAACTGTGACTCTTTTCCATGGTGCCTTCTCCACCATGGTTGTTCTCTCCCCAGCATTCTCCTCCTCTGCTTTGTCTTGGCAGTTCTTCCACCTCCAAATGCCTTCGTTGCTGCTGCTGCTGCTGCTCCTCCTTGAGAGCTCTGTCTATGTACTCTTCATCTTCTTTTATAGCCTGAAGTTTAGCAACTCACTGTTCCAAATTCTCTTACTTTTTCTTCCAACATTGCAAAATTTGCACTTGTTGCATGTGTATGCTGTGTTGTTCTTAAGCATGAAGACAGACACTGCACACAGTCTGCAGCTCACCGCCACCAAAGTGTCTCTTCCCTCCACAATCTCTATTATTTTTTTACTTTCTCCTATTTATATATGAATGCCATTTCCTTTGTCTTATCTGCCTCAAAAGATGCTGAGGAAGTCCACTAATATATAACTCTTTGCCTTTGTCTCCTTGGTCTCCCTTTTTCTTTGGTTTCTTCCTCCAGCAAACCCTTTCCTTACTACTTCTCCCTGCAACAAGCTCCTGTTAGCTCTCGTTGTTCACTTACTCTATGGTCTGTCTCAGTTTTATTCCTCTGCTTTGCTCTGTTAGGAGTCAGCAAAGAGAAAGCAAACCAGGTTAGCATTGTTTAGGATTGTAGCTCTTATAGGTGGCAATTTTATGTCTTCCCAATCATCTCTCCATTTCCTTTCCAGTTTGTATATGTTTGGGATTAGATCTCTGCATTATCTAATCCAACCCTGTTCTTAGAGAGAGGCAGTTCTTCATCTAGAACAAAACTGACTAATAACCTGCCCATTTTGTGTGGTTCTCCAAGGTATAGGAGTTAACATTCTCCCTTCTGTTACTAACCCTTTTTATAGCTAGAAGAATCTTGAAGTTCTCAGCAAATCTCCTTGGCTGTTTAAAGCTTTTGCTTCTTTGAAAGAAGAAAAGCCAGGATAAGACCTAACCCTTTTTATAGCTAGAAGAATCTTGAAGTTCTCTACAAATCTCCTTGGCTGTTTAAAGCTTTTGCTTCTTCTTTGAAAGAAGAAAAGCCAGGACAAGAAGTTATTCCCATGCTTTATATGTACCTTTTCTTAGATGTTTTGGGGGAAAGAATCAACATATTTCTTCGACTTGAATGTACCAGTCCTTATAGTTATTGCTCATAAACTTCCATTTATCATCTTTATGCCTTCTCTGTAAATCCTTTTCAGGTTTTTATTACCCTTCCTGAATTCCAATGCCTGGAACTGAACATAATGTACCTACTGAGTTTCACTAGTGCCAAGTGTTACTGTACCTAGGCCTTGGAATTTGGAAACAGCACACCACTTAATACAAGCTAAAGCAATGTTTTCCTTTTGTGCCATAGTATTGCCTTGCTTACTACTCCTGCTTATACAAGTGCTGTCAGAACAGCTGCTTCCTCTTCAGGAGTCTTGCATTTTGCATTTGTGAGTTTGTGTGAATTACTTTGCAGTTTCCAATGGGTAATTAAAGTCGGTTTGTTGGTGTGATCAGCGTTTCAACATGCAGTTGCTAATCCAGTGGGTAAAAGGGTAAAGCTAATGCTGAAGACAGTATCCAGATTTCTCCCATCTAGCAGTGCTAGAGGTAGGGTGAGTGGGGAAAAAAGGCAGTAGCAACAGCAACTGCATTAATAGTTCAAAACAAAACATATCTTCATGTGGTATTCAGGAGAGGATCACCTTCCCCTCTCTTTATACTTCCAGTTTTATACCTATGGGGGAAAAAACATATACAGTATCTTCTCCACCATAGCACCCTCTAGACAGCTCCTGCCATTCTTAACCATTGGCCAAACCATTGGGTCTGATGGAGAGTGAAGTCCATAGCATTTGGAGGCAACTACTTATCAAAGGCATGGTGTAGATTGTGGGTATCAACTAATCTGTGTGGTGGGTGGAGGAATGGCTGTTTCATTATATCAGTTTGACATATTTCAGCACGCTCTTCCCAATAATCCAATAAATGTATTATTCTAGATAGTCCTCTGAGCCTGTTGTGGCACTTAGCCTGTTGTTGCACATTCATTGAAGTGAGTTATCAGTTCCTTGTTATTGACTCAATTGCCAAGGTCTAATTTCAGTTATCACTTAGATCCAACAAAGCTCCAAACAATTAATTCTGCTTTAGACTTTGGCCATGAGGACCCCCAAATGCAGTGTAGATGCACTCTACCAGCTCCAATGTACATGAATAGAAAACAGAGGACACATCTTCTTGGGCATCCCCCCAAGTCCCCCCCCCCAATCATTGCTTTTAAAATTCATACTGCTTCATGACTCTGAATGTGAGTAAGCCAACATGGATGAGAGTGGCCAGAAATAAATTAGAATTATAAAAATATGACAGGTATTAAAAACCAACTTGTTTTTAATGTGAACCCAGTCTAATTTGGGTCTTGTTTTGTTTATAATGATGTTGTTGGGAGCATGGTCTCAATACAGATCCATGTGTACCTTCTCCTTCAATCTTGTTTTCTTGAGCTTCACAACTTGGTATGTGGAGGGACGTTATGGTGGGCCCTCTATTATAACATGGAGCCTTCTGTGAACTTGTTTTGGGCGATGGGGTGCAGGAAACATGTAGCTCTCCAGAGGCTGTTAGACAGCAAGTCTTATCAGCCATGACCCAGTATAGCCAGCAGTGAGAGTTTCTGGGAATTGCGATTGAATACCTGGAAGTACCTGGAAGGGACGTGGTGGTGCTGCAGGTTAAACCGCAGAAGCCTCTGTGCTGTAAGATCTGTAGATCTTCAGCTGTAAGTTCGAATCCACGCAACAGAGTAAGTACCCGTCGCTTGTCCCAGCTCCCGGACCACTTCGGTGGGAAGGTAACAGCGTTCGTATCTAAGTCGCACTGGCCATGTGACCACGGAAAGATTGTCTTCGGACAAAAACGCTGGCTCTATGGCTTGAAGAGCGGGATGAGCGCCGCCCCCTAGAGTCGAACACGACTGGACAAAAATTGTCAAGGGGAACCTTTACCTTTACCTTTACCTTACCTGGAAGTCCAGTGGTTGCCAGCCCTGCTTTTTGATATAGCCTATGTCTGCTGGAAGCCATGAGAAAGGACTTTTCTTTTTCTTTTTAGCCAAGGCATCAGGAATCATAGGGACTCCATCTCCCTTGGTTGCTGGCAGTTCTGCACGCACAATGTTGTGGCTTGTTACAACCACAGACTTTGCAAACTCCTGTCTTATACTTTTATTACTGCCATGTTCATTTCAGCTAGGGAAAAGGAACAGGAAGGGAGGACAATGAAGATGGCAGTTCAAAGCAGGGAATAAGGGCAAAATGACTCCATATCAAGCTAGCTCTGGAGTTGATGGGAGTTTGGGGCCTGATTTGACACCTGCGGGAAGTGGGGATGTTGCCATGGCAACACTCTCCTTTTTGAGCCACCTTCTGCGTTTCTTTTTCAACACTCTTTCCTGGCCCTAGTTACAGCAAAAGCCGTTCTAAAACCTGCTCGGTTTTCAGAGAGAAATATCCTGCACACAGAGATCTCCTCTTGTTGTGTATATGGTGTCCGTTGCCCTTAGCTACGGGGACATTTTATGTCAAACAAACATGAGCATAGTTATAGCACAGAAAGAATATACATTGCTGTCAAAGAAGTTTTTAATTTCCTGTGTTCAAATTTTATTGAATTTATTGGGAGGGATTAATTTGTAGTTGTTTAACCAATCCTTAAGAACATGAAGGTAATTCCTTTTTCCCTTAACGATGTGTTCCACAGTTTTTGCTGGGAAATAGTTTCCAGCGGAGACGGTGCTGTTGACCACCAGTGCCACTAGAGGTCAGCATTGCGTTGATACTCATTGGTGGATAAAAAGAAGTAATTTGGAGGCATTTGGGCCAAGCCAGAAATGATTATTAAAGAACACAACAGATGTTATTGCAGACTGATACAGTGGCTGAGGTTTTAAACCATCAAGTGTGAACCAATCTAAGGCAGAATCTTCTGGAGCAAAGCAGAAATCACAACACAAATCTTTGTATATAAAATACTGTTGGATGAAAAATTAAAAATCAATGTATGTGGTTAATGATGTATATAGCTCATTATCTTCAGCAGATCTGAGACTACAGACCTTACCTGGGTTCCCAAAGATGCTGCACCCTGCAGCCCCTCTCATGATTTGATGGGTGCCAAATTGGAGAAGGCTGCACTAGCTTAATGAGATAAAAATCTTTATACAAGCAGGATGCAATTGTGACTGGTGTCTGTATGCCCTGATCCAGATGTTCACCAAAAGTGCATGTATAGTGGTTAAAATCATATCCCTTACTCCAAACCTCTCTGATAACAAATTAATCCAGCTCAGAACTGGATTAACTGGTACAGAAACATCTCTGTAGCTTAATTCTAAAACAAAACTACCATCTGTGTCCAATTTTATGCCCAGTGAAATTCCACTGACATCTCTCTGAACTGTTATTTTAAATCAGAAAGAAAGAAGGGGGAAATCCAAGCTTTATAGCAACAAATCTGTTCACCAAGATTTTCATGCTAACCTCTCGTCAGTACGCCCAGTATTGCTTGATTATCCCCTTTCATATTCCTTCCCCATACTTTTCATCCTTTCATTTTTGCATGATTATCGTTTTCATTTACTGCAGATCACAATAAATCTCTGTTTTAATACAATACCTAGCCTAAATAGGGGCAATAGGGTATCACTTTTGCCAATCCCACTTCTTATCTTGCATTTTAATAACCTTTTGAGTTGCTGTGGTGTTCTGGATTTTAGCTCTTGCCTATCTCTTGCCTAAAGCAGCACTTCCAAACGAAACTGCTCTCCCAGGCACAGTGGGTCAGCTCTTCTACCAGTTCAGGATAGATGTCAGCACATGGCGTTTTAAAATTCCCTGTGCATGGAACAGTAGCATGTCAGGCAGAAAGCCCAAGGAGAATTCCTCCCTCGACTGTATGAGCTCTGAACAGTGGAATTGTTTTATTTTTAAAGAACGTTAAAGCACCCTACTTCATTTTGATCCACAGGAGACGATTGCATGACATATATTTTCAAAGAGTAATGCAGTATCGACCCAACTCCGGGAGGCAATGGAAGACAGGAGGGCCTGGCGTGCTCTGGTCCATGGGGTCACGAAGAGTCGGTCACAACGTAACGACTAAACAACAATGCAGTTGTGCTCTTGCAGCTCTCTTCCTTTGCATGTACACGTATTAATGCATAGGTCAAAAAGCCATCAAGTCTCTTGGGGCAGGAGTCTGGTAGGGCAGCAAATTTCAGCTATTCATACCTGGTAAACTAGACTAGTATGCCTGTAAAAGCCACTTTAAATATATATATAGTGACACTACAAAACAACAACAACCAGTTTCTGCTTCTGGTGAACAAACTGGACACCATTGCTTGGGCATGAGATCAGGGAAAAGGGTAAGGGCCAAAAAGCCATTAGTTTGAACAGGGCAGTTGTGTGCCAGAGCCCTCTCCCTTCCACCCACCGCTCCACAATATTGCAGTGTATAAAGAAAGCAGGCCCAGTCTGGCACTTCAATAAATCAATCCTGGCTAGTCCCTTCTCTAATAGTGTCTCTCCATACAGCCTGACAGATTGAATAACCCAGCTTTCCATGGGAGTTATAGATTTCAAAAGCTTGTGGTGACCTTTTGGGGCTGATGGGGAAAAACAGTGCTAAATGCTGTCCTTGTCGCTCTTGTTAGGATGGCCGGCTGAGATCTGGGGACCAGCTTGTATCTATTAACAAGGAATCATTGATTGGAGTCACTCACGAAGAGGCGAGAAATCTAATCAATAGGACCAAGCTAAGGTAAGTCCTGCACCACAAAGCCAGAACCCTGAACCTGGCATTTTACCCTCCGTTATTTCACGTGACCTCTTTAGCCCTCTCTATTCCAGAGAGAATTGTGGGGACATATTAGTAAAAATGCTTTCAAATTAATGATACAGAACTGGCAGCTACTAGAAATAAGCCCTTGCATGTTAACTTGCATTGTAAGCTTTTAGGAGAAAAAGAAAGGCATGCAAATTGTAGTTTTCCCCTTTTAAAACAGCAACTCCCAGTGCTACATTAGAAGGTGCATGGAAAAAGCTGAGGTGGCATAGAGAGTGAAAGAGAGCAACAGCTTCAGAAAGGGTGCTTATTATAATTTTTAATTGTTCTAGGATGATACCTGTAGGCAACTCTTCTTCTTCTTTTTTCCCATTTAGATCAAATTCCTCTTGGGAGATAGCTTTCATTCGACATGAAACTTCTCCCAGCCAAGTGGAAACTACGCAGCCCTCCTCCGGTCATTTAGTGTCAAGCACATGCAGACAGCAGCACACTCCGTTGGCACTCAGTTTGCCTGTATCTCCTAATGAGAACCTTACTTCGAAGATGTCTGTTTTGAATGTGGTCAGTATCCTCTTTAGCCCATACGAAGAGTCACTGTGTCAAAATTTTATCTCTTCATAGGAAATAACTCTTCTTGTTTAGAACAAAGGCAGAAAACTTTTGACTTTCCGAATGTTTTGGATTTTCAAAAGTCTCAGAAAGCCTGGCTAGATTGGCCAGAAATGAAGGATTATGAGGCTTCCAGCCCAAAACATCTTCAAGCCAAACTTCTCGCTGGCCTCAGTTTAAAGCAATGGTTCCCAACCATATGTCCCCAGAATTTCTTGGACTAAAATTCCCAGAAGCCTTCACCACTAGCTGTGCTTGCTAGGATTTCTGGGGGTTGTAATCCAAAGAACATCTGGGAACCCAAGATTGGGAACCATTGGTTTAAAGTAAGATTGTTGTCACCCTTCACAATGCTGTGGAATGGGGGACTTTTAGTGGGTGGGGAGTGTTCGGGGAATTTTATATGTGTGCATGTGTCTGGTCTCTGGGTGTCTGTGAATTTCGTTGTATGGGTATACTGTGTATATACTTACAATGACAATAAATTATGATGATGATGATGATGATGATGATGATGATGATGATGATGATGATGATGATGATGATGTTTTAGAGCAGTGGTCCCAACATTTTTGACACCAAGTGACAGTTTAGTTGAAGACCATTCTCCCAAGGGCAGGGGGGGGGCAGAGAGGTATTTGTTATGCAGTAGGTTGTTGGAGGATAGCTTTGAATCGAGCTCACAAAGGAAACGGCAAGCAGGAGTAGGAGGGAAGCTGCAATTGAAGCTCCGCCTCCTGTCAGATCAGCAGCTTAGAACCTATCAGGAGTGCAGGCTCCTATGAGATTCTGATGCCACAGGCACAGCTGATCTAGCAGCAGCAGGAAGGGAGCAAGGAGCGAAGCTCCGCCTCCTGTCAGACCACCAGCAGCATTAGAACCTAATAGGAGCATGCTGACAGGAGGCGGAGCTTCACTTGCCACTCCCCTCCTGCTTGCTGCTCATCTGTCCCAGCTTTCCCCTCCTGCTTGCTGCTCATCTGTCCCACCTTCCCAGTCCTTCCAAGGCCATGGACCGGGACTGGTTGGGGACCACTGTTTTAGAGTGCCAGTCCTTCCAAGGCCATGGACCAGGACTGGTTGGGGACCACTGTTTTAGAGTATTATTCATTCATGGAATAACCTAGTGTAATAAATGTTCCCATTTTAAATAAGCAGTGTTTACAGAGGTCACCTGCCTTAGATGATGCCTAGATTGGATTTAGAAAAAAGGTTTTTGTTTGTTCATTCATTTTGTTAATGTATTTTCCACTGATGCTTTCAATGTGGTTTGCATTTGAAAATAATGGTATACAATATTTGATGAAAACGGTACAAAAGAGATGGGGAAGATGTGGCCAGGAGGTGAAATCACGTATCAGCATGTGTATAATCCATTGTCATGCTCAGAACTGCCAGATGAACCCCACAGGATGTGATGTGTAATTTATTTTGCCATGGTATGAGCATTCCTAAACACATTGTGCTACATTCCTGACACATAACTTACACTAAAAAATCTACAAAATATAAGATATTTAGGATAACTGCATATATTGGTCTGGAAGGTACAAAAGAGCTCAGTTTGCATTAGAATTGATTAGAATGAAACTCTTCAACCTCTCTTAGGGTAGAATCTCTTTCTTGCCCCTGATTAATGCAGCCCTTGAAAATAAAGTTTGCTTCTATTTGTATGGAGTCTCCTCTTCATTGTCATCTAGCCAGCCTTCGACAAAGCTGCAAATTATGCCTCCTGTCAGCCCAGGTCAAGGTGCATAGCATCCAACACCAGCCATTTTATACAGCTATCTACACATGGACATCACCAGATGGGCAATACGGAAATCAGATTGATTATGTTCTCTGCAGACAAAGATGGAAAAGCTCTATACAGGAAGCAACAATTAGAACTGGAAATGGAACAACTGATTGGTTCAAAATTAGGAAAGGAGTATGACAAGGCTGTATATTGTCCCCTTTATTTAACTTATATGCAGAATACATCATGCGAAAGGCTGGACTGGAGGAATCCCAAACCGGAATTAAGATTGCCAGAAGAAATATCAACAACCTCCAATATGCAGATGATACCACTCTGATGGCAGAAAGTGAGGAGGAATTAAAGAACCTCTTAATGAGGGTGAAAGAGGAGAGTGCAAAAATGGTCTGAAGCTCAACATCAAAAAAACTAAGACCATGGCCACGGGTCCCATCACCTCCTGGGAAATAGAAGGGGAAGATATGGAGGCAGTGACAGAGTTTACTTTCTTGGGCTTCATGATCATTGCAGACGGAGACAGCAGCCCCGAAATTAAAAGAAGCCTGCTTCTTGGGAGGAAAGCGATGACAAACCTCAACAGCATCTTAAAAAGCAGACATTACCTTGTCGACAAAGGTCTGCATAGTCAAAGCTATGGTTTTTCCAGTAGCCTACTAGGAAAAAGCAGTTGTAAAATCAAGCCAGCTGGAGTAGAATTACTTAGCTATCATTCCTCCATCAAAGGTCCCCTTGTTACACATCATAGGTTGGCGAGATGGATAATGGAATATACCATCCCCTTTTTGTGGCTGTTGGTTACGACTGGTGACTGTCAGTAGGCTCAGCCTGCATAATAAGTTGCTTTTGGCTTGCATCCTTGCAATAATGTCCCTTACTCACAGCATATACGTAATTCTGTTCTTTCCACAACTTATTGATTAAACTAACGATTAGACGAACAATTGAACCTCTAGACTGCCCATCTGACCGATGGTCACTCTGGGCAGTGTACAACAGTAAAAACTAACTATACAGCATACACTATAGCTACATCACTACATTTGATGAGTCAGTGTGAGAATTGTTGACAGAAGTGAGCAGAGCAAAGGGAGAACAGACATGTCCACATACTAACTCCTCCGGTATTGTTTGAGGAATTGTTTTTTGCCTACTTTTCCACACGGGTTTCTGATCCTCATGCTATGGCAGAGATAGGGAACCTATGGCCTCCCAAATGTTGGACTCCAACTCCCATCAACCCAAGTCAGTATGACCAGCAGTCGCAGACAGTGTAAACCTATAAAATGGTAACATCTGGTGGGCCAGACAGGTTTCCTATTGCTCCTATAAAATTTGTGGTTTGGAACAAGTGTATGCTTTCAGATGACATATGTTTTTAGACTGGTCCTTGACCTACTTTAGTAAATGGCACTTCCTAATTTTCTGTTTTTCTTTCATAGATGAAAACTGGATTCAAGAAGAGAGAAGAACAATCTTCAGCATTTTCTTCAAACAGTTCCATTGACATGTCCGCTGGGGGTAAATGCTCATTCATTTGTTTCCCCTTGCTGTCCCTCTCTTTCTGCTACTGCTTTTTCATATAAGTAACATGTAATGTGTTTTATTTTCCTTTTAAAATGTCTCCATATGAGCCATTTTTTTTATTTGAATGAAAGTCTAAAATGAATGAATTGTCCACCAGTTCCTTTGCAATGTAGTGACTCTTGGCTGTTTTATGAGACAGCTGAACAACAATGGGCTGCCCTTGCTTGCAGCATTTGATTGCATCGATACAGCTATAATACAGACTTTTATACAACATAATTGGGGCTACCGGTCCCAGAGCACAGTCCTAAGTGTTTGTTTTGTTAAAGTTTATTTGCTTTCAGACCAGCCATCCCTAATTGGCACTGTCCAGATGTTTTGTACTGATCCCTGACCATCATCCTTGCCTATTGCCCATGATGGCTGGTGCTAAGAGTTGTAACCCAAATCTTTGGTCTCTAAAACACCTGTCAGGTGCCTCCCTAGATGTGTTGGAATACAATTCCCATCATCCCTTCTTATCAGCCATTCTATCTGTGCAAGAGCACATATGGGGAGGTGCCAGGTTGGATGAAACTGTTCTAAAAGCAGATGACACAACAGTCTTGTTGACAGTCATCTGCACTTCTGTCATGGAATGTGGGATAGAAAGGAATTGGATGGAGAGAGAGAGAGTCTTTGTGTGTGTCTATGTGTTAGGATCCTATCAGATATTGGGTCTCTCTTGAAGCCTATGAAGTGTCCCTTTGAAATACCCTAGAGTGCACATTTGGGTATGTTCTCAAATGCATCCATCATTCTCATAACAAGAGTTAAATCCAATAACTTGGCTGGAATCCTGCATGAATTGGGGTTGTGCTAGAGAACAGCCCAGAATAGTCTACATACAGGGGTGGGCAAAATGTGGCCCTCCAGATGTTGTTGAACTGCAACTCCCGTAATTCCTAGCCCACACAGCCAGTAGTGAGGAGAGTTGGGCCTAGCCCACACAGTGAGGAATGTTGGGATTTGCAGTTCAGCAATATCTGGAGGGCTGTACTTTGCCCAGGTCTGGTCTACAATCTGTGGGGGCTCTGTGGCTGATGTGCAGAAGTTCTTCTGCCAACAAATGGCTATGGAAAGGCTTTCTTGAAGGCAGATATTGTTGGTAATCAGTAGGGTTATTTGGCATAGTATAGTGAAAAACACTATATATCAAGATCAAGTTGCTATAGAAACTAAATGCCATAGCATTCTGCTTGTATACTGATATGACCATGTGTGATGAAGGGCATCACTGGGTGTTAGCTGGTACTGCATTTTGTTTTTTACATCTGGCAAAGCATATCTTATAGAGAAGGCAGAGACTTAGCTATGGCCAGTAATGGTAGTATATCCTTATTTTGTTTCTGAGTCATTGCCCTTGTCTTAAAGCAGCCATCACCAACCTTGGATATCCAGATATTGTATTCTTGAAGGCTTCCATGGCCGGGATCTTATGGTTGTTATAGATTTTTCAGCCTGTCTAGCCATGTTCTTGAGGTTTTTCTTCCTAACATTTCGCCAGTCTCTGTGGCTGGCATCTTCAGAGGACAGGAGTCAGAACTCTGTCTGTGCTCTGGTGCAGTTGGGAGCCAGGCAACAAAGCCTGGCTCGCAGCACTGAAAAACACAGCCTGCAAAAGGTCAACAAACTCTACCCAGTGATCACTGCACCCTAAAGACTAGCCAACAACACCTATCAATCACAGCAGTGACAGATCATTTCTCCCCCTTATCACAACAATACACCCACAACAAAAAACACGCTGATCGCCATATGTCTCCTGAAAAAGGATAAAAAGCTGATCCCACAGCTATACTCAACTATCCCACAAACTGTACCAGAGCACAGACAGAGTTCTGACTCCTGTCCTCTGAAGATGCCGGCCACAGAAACTGGCAAAACATTAGGAAGAAAAACCTCAAGAACACAGCAGACAGCCTGAAAAACCTGCAACAATATCATTTCCAGATATTCTTGGACTAAAACTCCCAGAAGCCTCCAACACTAGTTGTGCTATCCAGGATTTCTGGGAGTTGTAGTCCAAGAACATCTAGGAACCCAAGTTTGGCAACCACTGATTTAAAGGGACAGGTGTCAAAACAAAAATGTGTGCAGTTCACACATAGGCAATTCCCATGAATTTTGTCCTAGAGTTCTACGTAGCCAGGTGAATAGTTGGGAACTGTTTCAGTGAATGTAGAAGATAAAATAAGTTGAGAGAAGGAGGAGGAAGATTTTTTCCAGAATTGTGGATGCAGTCATAGTTATCTCTGGGTTTTTTTAAATAGATAATACTTTGTGGATCACCTTTGTGTAGGTTGAATTCAGTCCAGTAGGAAGGAAGAATCTAGAAGTATCTTTATGTCCCATTGAATCTAGAAGTATGTGGATTATGGCTGAGTTTGTGGTGGACATTCAAAACATTGTTCAAAGTTATAAGTGTATACTTAGTCTAACAGTTTTGGTACGTTTGAAGAGGGGGATAGTCCCATTAAACATCACACCCTTGGTCCCATAAGAAGTGTGACTGTCTTTGGACAAACAAACAAAAACATTCTTAATGGTATATATGCAATTCTGGGCAGCTAAAAAGCTGAGCAAGGATCTTTTGGTCACTAGTGGCCAACTACATTTAGCATTTTTATGATTAAAAACTGCCTATTGATTTGAACTGATAAAAGGGAAAACTACAAGTAATGCAGTAAACTGAACTGCTGGCACTAGAGGAGAAGGCAGCCGAATCCTCCAGGGAAGCCTAAGATCTTCCCTGCATTATCCAGTCACTGAAGCATTAGGGAGGGCCCAGATGGAAATCACCACACTCTATATGTTTCTCCGTGCAGCAGCTCTTCTTGTCATTTTGTGGTACTGTAGAGAAAAGAAAAAAGATTTGCATTGCTGCTGAAGTGTTAGTAGTGCTCTGGAACATTATTTTCTTCCTTGTTCTCTCCCTCAGCTTAATTTATTAAACTTTGCTGAAATAATGCAGTGGATAGTTCGCTCTGCACCCCCACCTCGCCCCAGATCGCAACCAAATTCCATTTCTTCCCTCATTTATGGGAATTAACAAGCAAACAGAGATCTGGAAACACAGAAACAATGGAGTGAGGATGATGGGCGTTGGAATATATCCTAAGTGGTGCAGGATAGGTTGGTCCCAGTCTTTATGCTCTTTATTCAGGCATAGAGCAGGTGGGGGGCTTCACGCATCCTTGAAGCTTGTGTTATGGCACTACATAATGTCCAAATCCCATAATAAGCATGGGAGTTAATTCATGTGGCCAGGTTGATGAGCATGAGTTGTTTGAACAGTGGGAGTTAAGAACACATCCTTCAAGCAAAAGAAGCCCAATTAAATTATCAATTCACATGCAACCTGTTGTCTCTTAGCTGTTGGCCCCACCTGGAGTGATGATTACGGACTACAGAGGAGGAAAATTTCTCTAAACCCTGCAGTTCGTCTCAAAGTAGATAAACTAGAGACTGTAAGTGTCTTCCATTGCTTTTTTTTTCCTTTTTGTTCTGAATTTTGCAGCAGAAAATGATTGCTGCACATACCGGTATTCCTGCTATTGAAATTGCTCTTCCACTTGGATTGATAATGTATTTATCAAATGTATGATTTGCCATGTTGGATCACCACTGATGTTTGATGAAATAATTATTTGGGAAGCATAGAATTCTTGTCGGCCAGTCATTGGCTGAAACTTAACAAATCTGTACTTAAATTCATATGTGCAGTTATTTGTAAACTGCTATGTTTATAGAACACTTGGTTCTAAGTTGAATCTTATTAGGCAAACCATACTCTAGTAGTGACATTCCATTTTTAAATATACAAAATCCTTAGCTGAAACAGTGGAAAGTCAGCTGTGCTTAAAACCCATTAAATCAATAGGACCTGCTAGTTGTGTAACTAATTTATGTCCCATTGATTTCAGTGGGACTTTAATACGATATAGCTTTCTTTGGCTTTAGCCCTTGTTATCCTTACTTTTAAAAATGGAGTCAGACTAGTTTATTTCTAATGATCTCTGAAATTCACAAAATATTACTGTTTGTCTTCAGCCAAAGTAAATTGACTAACCCATATTGGCCAACAGTCATAATCACTTTGTGGCTGCAGCACGGAATTGTTCTGTTTGTTCTTGTTGCCAAGAAAATTAATTCAGCAAGGATTTTTTGGACTCCACTAGAGACCTCACACAGGATAAATGAGAAAGAGTGTATTGAAAAATAAGTAGGAAAATTTACCTTTTAGTTTAGGGAAAGAAAAATACTAGATTGTTTTTTAGCAGGATTGCGGTGCTGAAACTGTAGTGAGAATGTTCACTTTGGGTGCGTTTCCCATAAATTCCTAGTAGGTTTCACAGACTGAAGCACATTGCAAATTGACTTCTCAGAAGAGTTCAGGAGCGCTCCACCCTCCTGGGTCCTGCTGAACATTTGCTGGGAGCTGCATCACATGTCACAAGCCACCTCCTTGTAGAGGGAGCAGGATTTCAGGCAGTGGTTACTTTGGGAGGAGGGCGGAATGCTAAAGCATACAATTTGGCTGTTACATTGGAGTAGGGGACAGCACACAATGGGATAGCCTTGACAGTATGGAGAAGTTGTTGGTTGGAGGCTAGCATCCACCCATGATTCACAGGGCAGTGGCAGTGACTGCAAGTGAATTCTCTGGAAATTGGTGCTCCTTGCACTGGATCAGGGCAAGTATGAGGGTTCAGGATTTGAACTTTTCAGTCTCGCAACTTTTTCATTGGCCAACAAAACAAACATACAGTAGATCTGAAGGCAAACTGGAAAATAAATGGAGAGAGAGGCTGATTTACTTCCCAAGTAGTACACAAATGTTCATTTTGTCCCTTTGTCCTCTTTGTTTCAAACAGGATTGGTAGGAGGTTTTCTGTTAAAATGATGCAGATGCCTCTAAAGCCTGTTTACCAGACTTAAAGGCTGAAATTCTGTTGCATGAGGTATGCAGAAGGCAAAAGTGTAACACTTAGTCATTTCTAGTTGGCATTTAACAAGTCCCCACAGGGATTCTCAGTGGTCTATGTGCCCACTAGCTTGGCACACATACAAGAATCCCAGAGTGGACTTATTAATTGCTGGCCAAAGTGGCTGAATGTTAAGCTGTTTCCTTTCTACATGCATAGCAAAGTGACAGGATTTTAGCCATCGGTGACATGAGTATGCATACCCTTATCCCTATTTTTAACTCTCTAAGGAATAAATTACCATCTGTTCCCAACCTTAGACAGATTTCTGAGAAGGGATCATGTACACTGCAGCAGTTTGATAGTGACTTTTGTTCTGCTTGCTTTTAAAATTAATCTTGCAAGGAATGTACAGTATTGCAAATTGCTGGCAGGGCAAAGTGGGAGTGTCTTAAACAAGAACCTTGAGCTCTACTAGCTTCAGTCATCCAGACATCTCAGTCCTTGTAAGGCTGTAGTACGAGCTGGCCAGCTAATCCCATTGCCTGAATATAGTCAGCTGACCTCAGAAGCAAATGGAGACATGTCAGCTCCCATGACATCATCATTAATTCATAGCCTAATCTGCTTGATCGGATTTCCAGCTTGTGTCCATGACTATTTTTTTCTCTGGCCCTGGGTTCATGATTCCCTGATTTCATGCCAGACCCTGTAGCCTGCTTGTGACCACGTTGCATCACAAAAATGGAAACCTCATAGGACAAAAAAAATCACAAGAAAGAAATACATTTATCACCAAAAAGGGGAACATTTTTGCCTTAAAAAGTTCCATATACTAGTTTAAGCCAATATATTCATTTATGTCATAATTAGCTATATCTGCTATATTTTCAGTAGAATTACCATAGTAGAACAGAAGTTTGACCAGGTGATTGCCTTGGTTCCAGTATAGGCAGAAAGGTGGAATTTGCTTTAAATCAATAAAGCATAATGCTGAGTAACCTCCTAATATTTTCTCCAGCTCACCAGCTCACCAGTATACTTAGAAAATAGTATTTACTTTGTCTTATATCTTTCAATGTTATTGAAATACATTCATTAAGAATTAAATACTCACCAATTCTACCCATCAAGAACTGACAAATTATATTTTATTTTTAAATTCTTAGAATAGTATCGATCCCTTATATTAAATGCATCGCAAAACAATTCAAATAAAATAAAATAAATTCATTCATTTGGATCAACTGTAGAATTCAATCAACATACTTAATTCCATATTATTAAAATTGGTAACCTAAAGCACTGAGAAGAACATAGGATAGCTGATCACAGGGTACTGCCCCCCAACTGCTGAGCCATTGCCCCATTGCACATATAATAATGGTGTTACCGCGCCATAAAGCAAGAGGGAACACTCATCAGCTTAAGCTGGAATACTTGGATCTAATTAATTTTCCTTTCACAACAAATTCTTCGTTTAGGCTCTGAATTATCTTGGGATTCAACCCACAAGAGAACAGGAAGATGTCCTAAGGGAGCAGCTACCAAAAGATTCTTCAGGAACAGTGTCTTTTGGAGGTAATTATTTGAGGAGAATGCTTGTATAATCTAACAGGGAAATCCTTCCATCTGTTAGTTATTACTGTGATTACAAAAACAGGTTTTCATGGTATTCTGTGAGGTATGAGATTGGTTTTCTCTTTATAGTATTGTGGTCTGTTTTCCTGGACAGCTGTGTATTAATGGTTATTGCATTATAAACAAACTCCATTTTTGATTACCACACATGGGAGTTAGCTGTGTTAGGATGACTTCTGAATTAAAAACCAGCTCCTCCTGTACTTCAGTCTCATCTTACCTGAGTAAGTGCAGAATACTTGAAAAGGATAGGTAAATTTATAATTTGGGATAGTGTTTGCAGCTGGTCATCTGCTGCTGTTGCGCCCATGTCCTGTTGGTGGGCCTTCCATAGGCAGCTGTTGGCCTCTGTGTGGACAGAAGGTTGAACCAGGTAGGTTGGTGGTCTGACCCAGCAGCTTTTGTGCTTGCCAGTGAAAAATAAGCAGTGCATGTGGAGAGCAAGTACAATTCTGTCTGACTGCTTGCTCCAAGGAGAATAGATCTGCCAAATCTGTGGGACTTAGATAAATGTTTACTTGCCATTCAGCAGTTGATTGGATGGGTTTGCACTAGTAGGTATTAGCAGTGAGATTGGAGTCCTAGCTTGCAAGCTTAGATTTCATGGCCAATTATGTTTTACGCTAAAGAGGATGATTCAAAATTAATCTGTATCTATGGTAGAAGGGAGGAAAAAATCAAATCACAAGCTGCCTTGTGTGAACTGAGCTTTTCTCTTAGGAAATACTGAGCTTGCTAAACATTAAAATAATGATTCAAGGGATTAAAATGATATTTCAAAGAATCTTCCTAGCAGTGTCCTTCTTAAAAAAAGACTTTTGATCAGTGGGTGAGTGGGTTGGTTGGTTAGTTGGTTGTTTTGGGGTCTGTAGATCCCAAAATACCCTGCCAACATGCCCACTGCAAATTCTGGGAGCTGTAAAAGTAACTTCTCCAAGCTGTGTACAAACTTGATTGCCTACCGTGGAAGGGGTGATACAGAGTATTGCCCGAAAGGATGACATAAAACAGTCTTTGGAAAGAGAGAATTAAACATCTGGAAGAAATAGTAAATGTTAATGAGGCTGTGGGAAGTTGGAAGAAAATGGCTTTGTTTTACTTTAATTTATTTGATTCTGTTTTATTAGCAATAGTTCCTATGGGCTTTTACTGATGTGGCCTCTTTTTCAGATTTTGTTCAGGTGGCCAAAAATCTATTTAGTTTGCATCTGGATGGGACAGGTGGGACTGCAGGACCCACTAGAACTGGTTTCCATGACATTGGCAGATTATTAGAATCACAGGTAAATGGTGCAACTTTCTTTCTGGATCTCATGGTATGTGTCAAATATAGTTGTTAATAGAGCTTATTGGTTTAAATCTGATGAAGCTTTAAAATTTTAGTTCAGCTCATTTAACCTGACTTTATACCATTTTTAAAAACCATGGTATTTTAAACTCGTGGTCTTTATACACTTAGTGTGGGGGTTAATTTTCCACCATATATCATTTGGCCTCCCCTGTTCTAAAAATGTCCAACAATGCCCAAAATATAGAAGGAAGTATACTTCTGTTTTGATTTTTAAATATAAGGAGAGAAACTCATTATTTCTGGAGAACTCCCAAGAGTGGGTGAGGGACATGTTTGGCCCATTTCTTTTCGCATAGGAATACAGTGGTGCCTCGTTTAGCGACGTTAATCCATTCCGGAAAAAATGTTGCTAAGCAAAAACATCGCGAAGCGAAATTAAAAAGCCCATAGAAACCCATTAAAACGCGATTAATGCGTTCCTATGGGCATAAAACCTCACCTTTAAGCAAAAATCCTCCATAGTGCCGCCATCTTTGCTGCCTCTTAAGCGAGGAAAAACAGCAGGCGGCCATTTTTTTCCCTGGTGGCCATTTTGAAACCGCCGATCAGCTGTTTAAAAAGGGTCGCTTTGCCATGATTGCTTCCCTGCGATCATCGCAAAGTGAAAAAAACCCATAGCGACCATCGCAAAGCGATCGCTTTTGCGATCGCAAAAACTCTGTCGCTAAGCGATTTTGTCGCTCAACGGAGCGATCGCTATGCGAGGCACCACTGTATTAGGAGACTCTGGGCTATAAAAGTGCTCCTGTGGGCATGAAAGCCACAGACTTCACTTTGCTTTTCCACACAGTAGTGTGAGAGACAAATACCCTAGATCAAGATGCACCAAATTATGGAAAGGATTATTTTCAACTGTTCAGTTACTATAACATTCGTAGTTAACATCATGATTACAGTTTCATCTACCAATGTAATTTTTATTTGTATTTGTTTTCACACTTTAACCAATTCCTATAATCATAAAAAAAATTAAAATGTTATTATAGCTTATCTTAAATGATAAATAGAAAAGCAGAATGCCTGTAAATGTACATAAGTCCTTCTCAGAAAAAGTAGAATATCATAGAGGGAATAATTTCATTAATAGAGGGACTGGTGGGATATAAAATAGGAACAGTTGAGAATCACTATTTTGAGGAAGCTACAAAACAGAGTGTAATTGCTGGAAATGCTTGTAAATTGGTATAGAGCATTGTAGTGGATTTTTAAGTGGGCACCATGTAAAGTATTAATGTATTGGTCAATTTCTTTAAAATTATTTTCCTTGGTGGGAAATTAGACTCCACCAAGAACAGGGGGTGTTTCAGTTAACACTCCAGGGCCTAGAAATAGTCTCTCAAGAGAGGGGCAAACATCTGCCTTTCTAGGAGCAGGTTAAAAGAAAAAAAAATCTGAAAACACTCAACAGTTCTTGAAAACTAATTGCTTTAGACATGTTTTGCATTGTTTACAGGTCATTCTTGCTGCTGCTGCTGCTACTACTGCTAATATTTTTTTAAGTTTAATGTATTGTATCACTTTTAGTTTTGTTGTTATTTTCATAGCTGATTTTGTGTATTAACATTGTAGCAGCAAAAGCTATGTATATACTTAGTTCCAGTCATGCAGTGAGACTTGCTTCCAGATAAGTGTGCATAGGATTATGGCCTTTACCCCACTATGTGATGTGGCGACTTATGATGTAAAAATAAAGTTTTTCCTTGTGACCTTTGGTTAAAAATCCATTCCCTCATTAAGACGTTGATAAGACATCTTAATTATGGATCTATTTAAATACAGGCAGGTTTCCTAGACTTAGTTTTTTCCTTTGATTTTACATTTATCGTTTTGCATATTGATTTGTGTAATATGAAAATCTAGGATTCTTTATGAACAAAATTGGGTTAGAGAAAGTCTAAATAACATTGTGATAGATTAACTTTGCTTAAGTGTTTTTGTAGTAAATTATGATGTTCATGTGTTCACAATCTCTCCCTCCCCCGCACCCCCTTTCTGTTGCAATATATACAGTTTATATCCTGTGATCGTTCAGAAAAAGATGAGCTGGAAGAACTTAGGAAAGAGAAAAATGAAGCTTTAAAAGAAATATGTAAACTAAAGGTAACTTTTTCTTTTGCTTATTAATATCTCTGCTTATTGTTACTCATTTTAATCATCTCTCTAAAGCTGATATGGTTGCTAACAGCACAAACTTCAGTTGCTGGCTGCTAAAAAGCATTTTCCTGCGGGAACCTGCTTTGGGGGAGTAAAACTCAGACATTCGAAATCCAGTCTTCACTAAACTTAGAGGGGTTGGGGAGGAGAGTCAACTGAAGACGCTTGTTCTATTCATGAACAAATCCATTTCATTTAAGTCTGTGCCTTGATTACCAAGATTTTAGTCAATTAATTTTACCAGTTCAAATGGATGAAATAAAAAAATATATAAAAATCAAATGGTAGTTTGGAAGCAGAAAACATTCTGCACTGATATGAGAGGAAAAGAGCAGTGTTCCTCAGGCACTTGCACATGTGTGGTTTTGTTCTTATGTTCAAGGCAATATGATACAGTGCTGCCTCAACTTACAACCATAATCCATTCCAGAAGATGGCCGTAACTCGAAATAGTCGTAAGTCGATACATGCATTCCCGTAGGAATGCATGGGAACGCGATTAAAAAAAATTACAGCATGGGAACGCGATTAATCCGTTCCGGCCCAAAAAAAATTACACCCAGAAAATTAAAATAAAAATATAACACTGAAAGCCAAATAGGAACGTGCTGGGGCTGCAAAACACACGCATGTGTGTGTGTGTGTTCAAGAAGGAAAAGAATGAAACACGGCAGAATTCAGAATTAAACATATGTAGAGACACACAGAGAGAGAGAGAGAGACAAAAATAAACAGAGCAAGAAAAAAACACCAAAAAACAAATGACACAGCACACAAACATAATCCCCCCCTCAGCCCAAAACCACGCTGCAAAACCCACCCAGAACAGTTTTTAAGCAAAGCGTGCTGCTGCTTTTAAAAAGCAAAAAGCAGCATCTTACCTTACCAGGCAGTCCCAAGCCTCATCTGATGGTCTCCGCGGGCCAATGCCGCCACTGCTGCTGGTGTCCTCACGCAAAGCAAAAAGCAGCATCTTACCTTACCAGACAGTTCCAAACCTTCTCAGATGGTCTCCACGGGCCAATGCCGCCACTGCTGCTAGTGTCCTCACGTCGCCTCCAGAATCGGCACGTGCAGCTGCTCGCCGGGGCAGCCACGTCAGGCCCCGGTGCTCCTCGCTGCCCTCCATGGGCCATTGGTACATTTGAATTTCCCACCATTGGCCCCCGGAGGGTGCCAAGGAGCACCAAGGCCCGACGCAGCTGTCCCGGTGAGTAGTCGCTGCTGCCGGAGCTGGAGGCAGTGCCGGGGACCAGCAGCCGTGGCTGCATCAGCTGCAGAGGGTGGTGAGGAGCGCCAAGGGATGCCCCCGCCTCCCCTCACCGCTGCATCCCTTTTGCCTAAGCGCTAGTGTGAAAGAGCTACAAAGAAGCAACCTCTTCACCACCAACGGTTAGCACATTTGAATATTCCACCCCTTTTCCCTGCTTGTTTTTGGTTGTAACTCAAAATGGTCGTAAGTAGGGATGTAAGTCGAGGCACCACTGTAGTGTAGTCAGTAATGATTAGGCCTGGGTTCAAACCTTTTCTTTCCCCGAAATCCACTAAACTCCATTGGAATGGTCATCCTTCCTCAGCCTGACCTATGCCACAGGGTTGTTGGAAGGAAAGTGGTCAAGGCATCTACCCTGCTCTTAGCGGAGCTACATTCCATTCTTCTGAGAATGCCCTCGGATTGTGCAGATTTTCCAAGGCCACACAGGCTGTCTCTTGTCACAGGAGGTACAATAAGGGATCAAACTCCAGTCCAGATACCTATCCAGTCAATCTGGTTGTTACAAATCTATTCTTATTTTCACATTCTCTGTCCAGGGCCTGCAAATTCCTGAATAATTCAAATTCCTTCTCCTTTGTACAATATTTTAAACCACATCTTAAAAATCAGTGATAAGCTGAATTTGTCTGATCTATAAAACTAATTTCTTCTGAATCACACTGAGCCAAGTTTCCCAGTAGTAAGTAAGGTATAGATATGTATTCTATTTCTATTAAATATATAAGTGCATTTTTTAAAAGACCTCTTTAAACCGTTACTTATTATAGGCATTTAATTTTCTACTGACAGGTTTCCTACTCTGTAATTTATGTTTAATAATGCTCTGCAAACTTTTATAATCACTGCTCCTATGTGATTGCCTGCAGTAAGACTTGATTTGTTCAGTAATAATAGAACATTTCTGATTATATCCCTTGGCCTGCTCCCCAGGACAAAATCCTTCTATGATAAGCCTTTGCTGCTGGTCACAAGCATTACTGCCATTGCTACCTACTACAGCTGAAGTGTTGGTTCATTTTTAATTCGTAGCTGCACTTGTTTTAATTTTGTAATTTTTAAAAAGATGCCTTACTGCACTGGTTTTCAACCTTTTTCAATCCGTGGACTGATTCAGCGGGGGGGGGGGGGGGGGAGACATGAGGGGGGTGGGGGTGGGGCATGTCTGCATCCGTGAGTGCCAAGGCGGGGCATCTGTGCCTGCATGGGTGGGGCATCCATGCGTAGGTGGGCAGGGCATGCGTGCGTGCATGCATGTGGGGGCATGTCTGTGTCTGCATTCATGGGAGAGGTGTGCGTGCGTCAGTGCATGTATGTGGGGGGCATACTTGTGTGCATGGAGGGGGGCATGCAGGAGCAGGAGATCTGTCTCCATGGTGGTCCTACCAAAGCCACAGACTGGTAGTGGGCTGCGGACTGGGTGTTGGGGACCCTGGCCTTACTGGACTTGGGCATTCAACCTTTAATTAGGTAAAATTCAGAGAGAATATCTAGCTATGCCACCTTGGCTAGGCATGGCAGAAGTTGGAATCTGGCCTACCTAGCAGATTACCATTCATCTTGTGAAGTAAGGCAGGAGAAGAGACGGAAGGAAGCTTTGCTTAATACAGGGGTCAGGGAACTTTTTTACCTTTTTCCCCCCAAAAAATGTATATACGCCGACATTACCCACTTGATTCAAAAGGAAGGAAATCATACATTATTTGAATTAAAAATATTATTGAATCTACACAGGCTGTGTACTGAACTAGCATGATGCTTCATCAGTACCAATGGCTGCCAGGCTATGTACCGAACTACCAGGACACACCAAATTTAATATGTGCACTATTTTTGCTAGAACACATTGCACTCCAGCCATGGGGTGGTATAGGGAGTACTAAGATGTCCAATATGCCTAGCAAGTTGCATTAAATTTTTGCTAGCTCACAGAGGATTTAATCTTCACCAATGGTTGCTAGAGTGGTGCTAGCAATGACGCTCTGCTCATTACCCCCAGGATTTTCACTGTTATCCCATTTGGGGTAATTTACCCCTGTTATCCGATCACTGCTATAGAAGAACCTTGGGGAAGCTAGTCCCTGATTGACCAGTAGGGGCAATAAACTTGATAGCCTCAGACCACCAGGTTTGTTGGGTTGAACAAGGAGAGATAGAAGGAGCTATTATACTGAATATAGTTACAGACTCTGAATAGGTGCTGTAATAACTGGACTGGATTTGACCTTAAATGCTTACCGTGTATGACTATTGGACTGGACTAAGACAACTCTATATGTATGATTCAACTGCTACTTATAAAACAGTACAGTTTTTCCTTACCCTGACGGGGCTCTCATTCCACTACTTACATGCGTACTGTTTCCTGATTTGGATAGAACTCTGCCAGGGCTAAGGAAAAGGCATTGCTCTGTCCTAAAGTTCCTGTCAAATACCCCCATCTCTACTGGTGAGTCAGAAGTTAAAGCCATTTCAGTTTTGAACCAACAGGTTGTAGTTTAGCTGACAGTAAAAGGAGCTTTGACAGATTCCTGATATTTAGATAGTTCAGTGAGATGGAGCATCTGACTGAGGAGCCAGGGGTCAGGAGTTTGATTCCTCACTATGGCTTGTAGGAGGAGATCCAGCTGGTATGATTTTGGGCAGACTCTGTTATTCCTGGATGCACCCGGAAGAAGGGAGTGGTAAACACTTCTGTATACTTCATATACAGTCAACCCTCGACTTACGAACGTCCCTACATATGAACATTTTGATTTACAAATGGCTCCCTTGGCAAAAATTGGCATCGACTTGTGAACGGAGGCTTGACCTACGAACGAGGTTGAGGCTCCATTCGCAAGTCAATGCCATTTTTTGTGAACGGAGCCATTCGGAGGTTTTGAAGGGCTTTCCCCCTGACATCGGAGGAAGCCCTTTGAGAGCTCTGAAGGCAAAAAGGCAGGGAGAAAGGGCTGGAACTTTGAATTTCCCACCCTTTCTCTCTGCCCTTTTGCCTTCAGAGCTCTCAAAGGGGGGGTTTATAATTTTGTTTTTGGGGGGGGGGGGGGGGGGGGGGGGGGGGGGGAGGGGGTAGCAGTCTGCTCATTACCCCCAGGATTTTCACTCTTACCCAATTTGGGGTAATTTACCCCGTTCCCCAACCTATGGCTTAATATGTTTCAAACAGTTCTTCTTCGTGGCCTCTGTGAATCATGCCCTAGGTGATTCGCGCTTCTGCGGAGCCTCATCAGAAGATTCTAGAGCTTCTGTGGTAGCAATGAACACATTAGAATAAGTCCCTCCCCACCCATATAAGTACCTTGGCACTAAGCGTCCCCTTTCAGCTATGTCAACCGCTGCTTAATAGTAAGCAAACAATGGTGTGACAGAGGGGAGGAAACAGTAGCTTCTAGTTAGAAAATTAATTTACATGTACATACAGACTGAGTCCCTACACTCCTAAATCTAAGAACAGCAAAGAAGATCTTCCCTGACTTGCTTTTGAGGAGTTCCCCGATCTACGCTCAACATCAGGAAGAGCTGCAGGTGAGAGGAGATCTACCTCTGCCGTCATGTCATTTCCCTTATGACAGTGTAAGTTGTAAGACAGGATTGTGGTTACAGTTTGAGCAACCTCTTAATTCTAAGTGCATTTCATGGGCCGTGCTCTGCACAGTCTAACACAAGTTAAGTACATTGCAAAAAGAAGGGGTTTTTTTCCCCCGAATCTGAGTCTGTCTCCCTGTTGCAGCACCATTGGTTTGGTTTTAATAAATTACTGTTCTTGCAGTCAAGATTTAAAGTGAAATTACAGTTGAGGGCTAGGGATCTTTCTGTGCCAAGTTATCCCTGCACGTGTATGGGGTGAAAAAACATCCCTCCTACTGATAATGACTGCCTGTAGAATTAGGGTAGTAGGTAACTCTCTTCGTCCAGGAGGTGTAACATGCTGTGTTCACAAGGCATAGTTGCATGGCCATTGAACTGCTTGGAAGAAGAGGTATGAATGACGCTAACAATTCATTTCATGGAGTCCTCAATGAAGCTGCAGATAGTAACAATCCATTGCCATCAACTGACACATTGAATTTTTTTCATCTTTTGGTTTTAAAATGTTAACTTGTAAAGTAGAATATTGGCTTCAGCTGTTATTTTCTAAAATACTTTGCTCCTCGCCCTTTTCTTTTCCTTTCTTTTCCTTTCTGCCATTAACATAACCATCCTAGGGTAAAGGTTCCCCTTGACAGTTTGTCCAGTTGCTCATAACCAATGTTCAAGTACTGGGCCAGATTTTATACTGGTACTAGATACTTGTTTATTGTAATACAGCTGCCTACATAACAGATGTAGTGGTAGGAATCCTTAGTTTTTCTGGATGCAGAGAAGACAGGGATACAACAAAATAGAAGCGTACAAAGACCTCTTTTTCCTTCAAAACTGTGAGTGTTTTAAATCCTATCTAGATAAAACTATCATAGGGACAGATGGTTCACCTTCATGATCCCTCTTTATGTGTTCACTGGAAGGATTAAAAACAGCATGCGAGGAAGGGAGTGTACTAGGTCTGTCTCCTATTGTTTTTGCTCTCCAAATGGGGAGAGCAATCGTCTAAAAAGAAAGCTGCTGCACTGAGCGCAAGACTACACTGTTAAATTGGGAGCTGAACCAAGTTTTTAGAAATCTATTTAGTATCATGTGTTTTGTTGTTGTTGTTGTTGTTGATGTGCACATCCACAAGGACCACCTTGGGTCCTTTTTACGGAGAAAGGTGGGATAATAATATTTTAAATAAATAAAAGAAATCAGTAGTTAGATGGTAAGCTGTGTGGTACATTGGGACTTTGGTGTTCCAGGTCCTTTCCCCCACAGTTTTTTGCTCTGTGCTGGGAAGTTAATTCTTTACCTGGTTCTTGAGGGAGAGCTGATGCCATACTCAGCAACTTCTATTTAGCACAGCTAGTATCAGCAGCATACAACACAGCCCACAACTATTCAAACAGCCATTTCCTCTGGCCTCTGCCCTTTAAGAATAATCATATCTGGTAAATTGCTTTTTAATATTTTTTTTAATATTAAGTTCTGCACTAGCATAGCGGTAGATACAGTGGGTTCTTGACTTGAGAACTTAATCCGTATTGGAAGGCGGTTCTCAAGTCAAAAAGTCTGTAAGTCAAGTCTCCATTGACCTACAGTGCATTGAAAACCGATTAATCCCGTAACAGGCCGTTTTTGTTCCATTTTGGTTTTTTTCTGGTCTGTAAGTCAAATCTCAGGCTGCAAGTCAAACCTAAATTTTGTGGCCAGAGAAGTCTGTAACTCAAAAAGTCTGTAAGTCAAGCCGTCTGTAAGTCAAGGGTCCACTGTAGATGGAAGTGCTAAAATAGAAACAGATGGGGGTTTAAAAAAAGGAAGAGTTTGGACTGCAGGGTGTACAATAATCCAAAATCCGTTGTACTCAGTAAACCCTGCAAAGCGCACAGACGCTATTTATAGGTGATTGGATATGCCACATCAGGTAAAATGAAACACAACCAGAAGTGATTCAAAGTAAACAACTCCTAAGCAGCTTTCTGCTTGGTGGGGGAAAGTGTGCTTTGCTGTGCCTTGTGTAGTTGGAGACTTTTAATTTAATTTCAGTCATGCCAAATCTAACACAGAAACATGAGTATATCACCATGTAATCACACCCACAGAGGTTTTCCATCTAGTTAGGTAGGACTTCTGAGGAGAGGCTCCATGTACAGAGGACAGTGTTGCTTCCTTCAAGTTAGTTCCTTGTCAACTGTTGGAAGTATTGATGAACTATTGTCTATTCCCATCAAAGTTATTTTTCTCTCTCTTGACTTGTAAGTTGTCAATCTTTTGATAGCTCTTAGATTTTGGACAGAATCACAAAGGCCTAAAACTGAGCTAGCCAGCGGTAATGGCCTGAAGGATTCAGAGGTCTGTCACTTGTGTGTGTGTGTGTGTGTGTGTATTCACGTCTTTACAAATGTCTCCATTTTTCCATGTACGGGGAGGCTCAGGACTATTTCAACCTCTGGGTGGCCCTTACCAAATAAGGACCTATGAAAAGATTTCCATAAAATTAGGCAAGATCCTAAAAGATCACTTATGTATAAATGGATAGAGGAAAATGTATTCTGTTTCTGGAGGCAGAAGAGATAGTGGGGTGTTGTCCCTGGATTAAACAATGTGAACATCAGAATGAACTCCATGTAACTGAATCCTCCTTTTTAAGGCAACTCAAGTCACTTGCTGGCAGCAGCTGTAGCAACAAGTGACAAGTCCAGTTAGATTTACTTGAAATCACATGACAGTGAATCAAAGGACAAAAACAGAGTCTTAGAATTGACTGCTTAATTAACTTCTCTCTCTCTCTATGTACTTTCAGGAAGAACTGGCAGAGTCAGAGCACCTGAGAAAACATCTAGCTGAAGAGTTACAGAGTACCAAGCAAGTAAGTGGAAAGTTGGTCAAGTCTTGTGGGTCCCCTTTCCCACTGCCATCACATAACTCTGTTTTGTACTTTCATGAATGATTCTTATAATTAATAATGATTAAGGGGTTTCTTCCTCCTAAAAATCAAATTATGTCCTAAAAAGATATATATAGTCTGTAGAGAATTCTGTGTGTTTTTGCAAAAATTTTAATTCCACTCAAAGGTAGAGTGGTGCCAGGGTACACAGAGCTGAAACCTAGGGACTTCCTGTGATGTCGATTGCCACCCTTACCTCCCACAAAGTCTTGCTCGGAACTTAGATGCAGCCCTCACAGTAGGTGTGACAGAAACTGATTGGTTTTTATTGGGGAACAGGATGCTATTGAAAATTATACCTTTTCAGTGCAAATTATTTGAGGGTTGTTTGATCCTTCGCTTTTCAAAAGACCATATCTTCATCTTTTAGCCTTTTGTGTCTGATTGGAAAAGATCAGTCTACATCCCAATGCCAAAGAAGGGAAGTGCCAAAGAATGCTCCAACTACCGTACAATTGCACTCATTTCACACGCTAGCAAGGTTATGCTCAAAATCCTGCAACTTCGCTTTTCAAAAGACCATATCTTCATTTTTTAGCCTTTTGTTTCTGGTTGGAAAAGATCAGTCTACATCCCAATGCCAAAGAAGGGAAGTGCCAAAGAATGCTCCAACTACCGTACAATTGCACTCATTTCACACGCTAGCAAGGTTATGCTCAAAATCCTGCAAGGTAGGCTTCAGCAGCATGTGGACCGAGAACTCCCAGAAGTACAAGCTGGATTCCGAAGGGGCAGAGGAACTAGAGACCAAATTGCTAACATGCGCTGGATTATGGAGAAAGTCAGAGAGTTCCGGAAAATCATCTACAGTACTTCTGTTTCATTGACTATGCAAAAGCATGGCAGAAAGTGAGGAGGACTTAAAGAAGCTCTTAATGAGGGTGAAAGAGGAGAGTGCAAAAAAAGATCTGAAGCTCAACATCAAAAAAACTAAGATCATGGCCACTGGTCTCATCACCTCCTGGCAAATAGAAGGGGAGGATATGGAGGCAGTGACAGATTTTACTTTCTAGGGAACAGGGACAAACATGTCACCTTCGAACAGTACAGAGTTTTTAAAGGAAATGTAACGTATGCTGCCATGTCCCCAGAACACGTCACTTCCACATATGACATTTCTAGCCATAAATACAATATAGCAATATTATTAGAATAACTTGGTAAATCTTTCTGAGCAAGAGTGCTTCTTGCTGACTTCCATGACGCATGGCTCTGCAGCATCATTCCAGAGCCTAGACACACCCAGCCTAGATGTCTTCATAAGGACTAGAAGTCTGAGAGATCAGAAGCTAAGCATCAGAAAGGAGGGGCTTGTGGATAAAGGAGGCAAGTAATAGGACTGGAATGGGGAAGGGAGTCTGCCCTAGAAGCTGAAAATCCACACACATAGTAGAGCAAGGGTAGGCAACCTCCTGAGGTTATGAGACTGCAAGTGGCTAACCCCACAATTTGAGGGGCTGCTTCTGTGACCTCCAGCTTCAATTATTTTTTCCTTACAAACTTTTTTAAATGGTTGAGGCCCCTTTGCCGCTCTTCTGGCAATTTTAAAATACAGTGGTACCTCGACTTACGAACTTAATCCGTATTGGAACGGCGTTCATACGCCGAAAAGTGCATGAACTATTCATTACTATACAGTGGTACCTCGACTTACAAACTTAATCCATATTGGAATGGTGTTCGTAAGTCAAAATGTTCGTAAGTCGAATCACTGTTTCCCATTGAAATGCATGGGAACAGGATTAATCTGTTCCAGCATTTCAAAAAAAAAAAAAAAACCAAAATAAAAATACCACAAAGCAAGTCCCACGCTCGGACTGCAAAAAAACCCCACACAAATCCAAAAACAAAACAACACAACACAGCACAGAAACATAACTCCCCCAGTCCAAACTCACCCTCCAAAACCCAAAACCCACCCAGAACAGTTTTTAAAAAGGACTTACCAGTCTGAAGCCTCCTGGTGCTCTGCTGCCTCCGCCGCGGCCAGGGGCGAGCAGCCAAGCACCTGGCCAGCTCAAGCCTGCCGGTGCTGGGTGAACGCTGCCTCCGATCACGGCGGTGGGGGACCCCCAGGAGGGCTCCCCGGGCTTCACCCCTGCCATCGGAGACC